TACAATGCCGCATTTTTTTGTGTATTACAAATATAGTTGGCTTCTTGATGAATTGCTCTTTTGTAAGTCGCTTATTTAATCTTTGCTATATGAATTAGCACTGGAAACATTGTTTTTGCACATATAATTTCAGATTTTTTTTTACAAAGATATTGTTTTTTAAAAACTGCAAGTAGCTTGTTTAATGGTTTATTTATTTTTTTTTTTTAAAGAGTCCAATTTATCTTTAGTACCTCCACTTAAAAATATTCTGATGCAAATTTATTGTTACTGTTATTTATTTATTTTTATAAACAGAATTTTTTGACATTTTTGAACAATTTGAATGAATGAATCAGTGAATCAATCAATCAATCAATAAATAGATGAATGAATGAATGAATGAATGACCATGCATACAATATGATTGTCCCCATAATGCGTTTATGATGAGAGTATGTAAATGCATTACTTTTTGTTGTTGACAAACCTGTCCAAATGATAAAGCTTAAGTTGTTTTCAACCAGAACACTCTTTTAACATTGAGGTTTTGTTGTATCAGTTTACTGCATCATCATTAACAGCCTGACAAACAGATCCTGGGTCTTCTTTTTATTTTTTACGGTGGAGATTTGTCACGCTGATACCATCTCTGAGACTGTATGTGATTGGAATAGACTGAATGCAGACATGAGCAGCTCCCTGCTTCCATAGTGATGGTCCATGCCTAAACGCTGCCTAATCGCCCGGCCCCTCCCATCTGTTCCCAGGGGGTCCTGCGCTCTTTCAGATGGTGGGGTAGGGGCTGTTTAAAGTGATAGGGCTGCACAGGCGGCGCTCACAGAGATGGCAGCAGCGCAGCAGAAGACACTAGGGATGATTGCAGCCATCGGGAGATGAAACTTGTGTGTCTGGTGAGAGCTCTGTCTGAAATATGTGCACCTGCAGTGGTTTGTGTGGGTGTGCTTGTGTGTGTGCACGTCTTTGAACGCAGTGTATTCTTATTGTGGATTAAACAAAGCTTTTGGAATTTCCTCAGAAGCGTAAACATACAATAATAATTCATGTGTTTTAGAGAGCATCGTCTCATTAGACTTTTTTTAGTGCAGCCATTTAAAGTTGAGGCATGTAATTTCTGTGCTACACTGAAAAAAAAAACATTCGGTGAAGAAAAAATTTTCACCAGAAAGTGCAAGTAAATTTCACAATTAATTACAAAAAACAGCATGTAACACAATGCAATAAGTGTGAAATTTTGATAGTTAAATTTTAATATTATTTTCTTTTAAATGCATCTTTTTTATTTTAAACTTTCATACAATATTTTATTTTATTTTTTTAATAAATGTTTTTTACAGTGTATTAGCATAAAAAATTTATGACAGCAATAATTACAGTTTCAAACAGACTTTAAAATCTGAACAGATTTTAAAACACCAGGCATCATACACTTGCCAACTTTGTAAATGGTTACAGAGAAAAACTTGGCATCGTGCACTAAATGACTGAGGATCACACACTTCCAGCCTTTCAAGTCATTATGAACACAACAAACTCACACAAAACATGCACCTCAAACAAACTAGGAGACACATGACAAATGAAAGCAAATTGTCTTCTAAAATCAGCACAAAATATCATGTTTGATGTACTCAATCTGGATGGAATCTTAGTCTGAAACTGTGTCTGTGCCCATCATACACTACACGATTTTCTGTGAAAAATGTCAACTCCGACTTCCCAAAATCTGCAGACTGGTTATGACTTTCAGCAACTGGTTTTGACTCATCCAGACTGCAAAAATGTGTGCAATATGTGTAGTGTATTTCAGCCTTTGAAGAAAGTATCAAAAAGATATCTTGAATAGACTGAACTTCCACATAATTTCCAACCAATAGTGGACATAATTGATTTGAATTTACCTATAACCACTGTAAATAGGAAGTTATTGTCCTATGACACAAATCTTTCTGGTAGGAAAGCAGTGCTGTTCAATAGCTATCAGTCAATTACAGTCATCTGAAGGATGGGGGAGAGTGTAGCTGCTCAGAAGCCCATTTGTCACCAGGGCAAGATGGATTGGCACCTGTAAATGAGAGTCAGCGAGTGCTTCTTCTCTCCAGAGTTTCTCATTTCGAGCGGAATGAGAAATTATTCCTCAGGACAGAAATCTGGGTCAGTCTGTGAGTGGAATGCACATAAATACACGTCTGGTGGTGTGTGGTGAAAACTTTATGGAGATGAAGAGACAAGACTGTGAGGACAATTTAAAATAGTGAGTGATGGGCAATAGACAGCTGTCACAGTAATGATGATGATGATGAAAATGATGATTTTTGGGTTGGATATATCATAGGGGTGCAGTGATAAAATTTGAGCCCCATTACTAGGCCTGCACAAAATATTTAGCCAATTTGACTACACTTTGTGTGAAATTCTGCTGTTTACCTCACAGAATTAGCATAGGGAATGCAGAACAAATTCTGCCAGGCTTGTTATTGGCTGATATAATCCAACTGTGATATGTATTATTCTGAAAGCCACCACATATTTACAAGCATCAACTCAAAATTGACCTTATTTACTTTTTTAGTACACCTTCATGGTCTTAATGTACACAAATGATCAGTTGGTGCCTCCCCAGTATATTCTATTGTCATGAGGCACAACACACTCCTCTTCTTAGGTTTATCTTTGAAGTCAGAATCTCACCTCTGCATTTACACAGCCCAGTTCAGCAGATATAAATGGGCTGGAGAGTGTGGTAGCTGTGGCCACCTGACTGTGCCTCCATCAGTAGCTAATGGCCAGTTCCTATGGTTTGATGTGGGAGGGATGTGCACCTGATCCCCATCCATATCACCATCACCTCTTATTGTCCGCACACACAGGGAGAGCTCATTGACCTTTGACTTTTATCTTCAAGCGCTCTGAACTAGAGCATCATTTAAAACACAATCTTCACAACAGAATATCAAAGCTCCTGCTGTGGGGCTAATCATTAGCCAGATGTTCTCATTATCCAGAATCTTTTTTCTTAACATATTTTTTGATTACTAAATACAATTTTCGATAGTAATGGTCGTGGTCAGTGGCTAGTGTGAAGGTGTGGCCAGATTAGCAATATTTTGGCAACGAAATCCATTGTCAATAGTGTAGCCATGTATGAAGCACTTTCAAACCAAACAGCTTTTTGTAGGTCAACGTGCATAAACAACTTGAACACTACAAACCAGTCAACGTGACCTGATTGGTTGGTTCACTTGGGGTTGTTCATTGATTTCATGCTTATTTGGCCTGTTTTATCATTATAATGTCTGATCGTGGGTTTCATGTCAATAATCCCAGCTGTGCGCTTGGTATAATAACTGTCAGACATCTCATATACTCAGACCCCATCACACAGACTCCATCCATCTATCATAGGAAAGACTCAACTGACCATGACAGTCACAAATGGGACAATTTTCAGCTTTATATTTGGCTTCCGTATGTTTTCATCTCTCATATGTTTGATTTGCAGTGTTTATTTCCTCTTCATGTGATTGAAGAGTAACTGAAGTGTGGCAGGCTGAGGTCTGCCCGTGCCATTGTGGTGGCATTACTGATCGGAAAGGTCTCCATTAGTTTATAAAATTGCATGTGTTCTCAGACAGGCTGTAATTAGGCCTGTTTGTATCAGAGCCCAGGCTGCCGTCAGCAATATCTGCTGGTGGAATAAACAGGAGGAAAATCGCTCCAAGTGTGTCAGTAAAATTATATTTTAATAACTATTCATAAAGTTTGGAGTAAAAATGCAATAATTCTCAGCTGATTTATTAAACATCTGCTAAAACTGACTAGCGCGGTACATTAAAAGTAATGTGTTTTTGGTTTGAAGGTTTGTTTTAGACTAGTACATGCTTCCTAATTCTCTTCTGTTGAATAGTATGCTGTCGTTCGAAAGTTTGGTTTTGGTAACATTTTAATGTTTTGTATGCGCAACAAGGCTACATTTATTTGATCAAAATACAGTAAAAACAGTAATATTGTTACAATTTAAAAGAATAAAGAAATCCCTTAGTTTTAATTTTTAATGTATTTTTTAATGTAATTTATTCCTGTGATGCAATGCTGAATTTTCAGCATCATTTCCCCAGTCTTATGTGTCACATGATCTTTCAGAAATCATCCTTATATTCTGATTTGCTGCTCAAGAAACACTTCTTATTACCATTTATGTGCTGCTTCATATTTTTGTGGAAACTGATGCATTTTGTCATGATTCTTTGATTAATATAAGTTCAAAAAACAGAAGTGCTTTGAAATAGAATTCTTTTGTAACAATGTAAAAGCTTTTACTGTCACTTTTGATCAATTTAATGCATCCTTGCTGAATAAAAATATACATTTCTGACTTCAAACCTTTGAACAGTAGTTCATTGGTTATCTATTTTATTTGATGTAATGATATTTATGTGTCCTGACTTTTTGTTTCACTGTCTGTCACCAAAAGGACCATGTTGGTTGGTTGACCATCTAAGTTAACACTAATTAGCCTTAATCTGCCACTGCAAAAATATATAAAACCAGTGTTTTGTCAGATATTATGAACTATGAATTCATATTGCTGAATCAACTCGGCTATATTTAGCTTTATGAACAACACTAACTTTAAAGGGTTAGATTAGGCTCCTTAAGGTGGTTATTTCAGTGCAGTATTGTCTTTTCATCGGGGTTGTTTTGATAAATTAATATATTTTTTAGTAAAAGGATGGTTATAAGCTCAGGTATGAGTGCATATTGAAAGCCTCTGTGATATTTGTGTTTGTGCAGCCAGTTTGCAGTGCATTGCTGTTACTAAACGGCAGTTGGGTGTTTCCGGGCCGTGCGGAGCTCAGCGCACAAGCGGGCTGGTGAACTTTCTCTGTGCCCTGCTGTGCCAGGCTGATGGGCTGACGCTGAGCAATGTGATGCCAGCTTTTCAAACACAGAATACATGATTCATCACAATCCCTTTGCTTCTCTTTCTCTCTCTGTAGGTGACATCACACAGAAAGGCTATGAAAAGAAAAGAGGGAAATTATTGGCGCCCTACATACCCCAGATACAAGGTAAACAACTCCCTCTCATCAACTGTAAATCCACTGTTTAATGAACTATTTTAGCAGACGGTGCATGTCTAGGTTATAAAATCTTCACTCTTCACCTCTTTGACCTTCATGAGATGTCTACATTTGACTGCGGTCTGGATTGATCTGAAATACATGCACGGTTTCAGTACTGTCAAGGATACTCTGAGCTAATGGAAACAATGTGTGTGTCTCTCTGGGGAATAGCAGTTATCCATGCTATAAAACGAAAATCTAAGTGCAGGGTTCAAACTGCCTCAAACTCTCAATTATGTGGTGTGTGTGTCTTTGTTGTTTGGTTTAGGGTGGCTAGCAACAGCCCATATATCCAGGCATGATATGTCTTTTCAAATGCAGAATATAGATGTGACAGTTATTTATGGTTCCTTGCTCTTTTCATGTCTTTTATTGGAAACAACAAAATAAAAATGCACTGTATTTCACCTAAAAATTAAAATGATGTCATTATTTACTCACGTTCTCCCAACTAAAGAATAATCAATAAATAAAATCAAGATATTCAGCAGAATGTTCACACTGCTTGTTTCCATGAAATGAAAGAGTTTTCCGAGTATTCTGTAGTTATACAGTTGCTTTGTGTGAGGAATGGACTAACATTTTAATTTAATTTTATTGTTATTAGAAGAAAAACTTGCCATCTGACATTGCTCTAAAATCTTATTCATGTTTGCATACAATATATATTTTTTAACTATCATGTTATCGATTCTGTGACCAGCCACATTTGAATTACATTTTTTTTAAATACAAATATATAAATGTATATATATCTAGGGTTGTGCAATATATCTAAATTATTGAAATATCGCAAATGTACATATCGCAATATGCATATCGCTACGGTTTGCAATATTTGGGGCCATGAACAAAAGACAAAGAGAACATCACTCAACTGCTCTTACCTAAATAACTTTTGTAGCTTAAAGGGCTTTTTTAAAGATCATTATTTTGTGTATTTGGTGTAACAGAATATGTTGACATGCTTTAATGTTCAAAAAACACATTATTTTTCAAATACTGTACATTATTGTAGGTCCTCTATGCCCCGCCTCTCTCAAACGCTTCGTTTTCTACAAAGTCCCTCCTTCCGACAAGCGCAGTCTGCTCTGATTGGCCAGCTGACCCAGTTCTCACACACACACACACGCGCGCGCGCGCGCACGCACACACACACACATACACACGATGCGCAAAACTCCGCATTTGAACAGTCAATAGCAAATACTTAAACTAATAACAAAACAGTAGCTGATTCAGAAGCGCCAGATTGTCATAGCAAAGTCAGAATTACTAAAACTGTTTCATCTGCGCATGTGGCACTTTAAGCATTATCGTATCGCATATCGAATATCGCATTATTTATGTATGGTATGTATTACTAGAATCATTTCATTTTAATATATTTATTTTGCTATTATTATTATTATTATTATTATTATTTAGTTTTAGTAATTTTACTATTTCAACAAAAAAAATTTATTTCACAGTTAGTTGCCAAGACAACTTTTTAATTTTCGGTTTTTCATTTAATATTTATTATATAGTTTTAGTAATTTTACTATTTCAACAAAAAAAAATTTATTTCACAGTTAGTTGCCAAGACAACTTTTTAATTTTCGGTTTTTCATTTAATATTTATTATAGGCCTATATGTTATTTTTCAGCTTTATTTCAGTTACCAATTTTTTTTTTTTTCATACAGTAGTTTAAGTTTTACGGTGGTTGACAGTAATAGCACTGGTTGGAAAAGCCAGAGAACAGCAGCATAGGAAGAGGCTACAGGTTACTGCATCTCCCTCATCCCAGATCAATGGCATCTCTTTTGGTGATTTTGTTCACACGTGAGGGTCAATAGTCAGACTGCTCATGTGTGTCCTAACAACCCCCTCAGGGCTCTCTCTCCCTCACTGGATGTTGGATGACAAGCTCAATCTATATTCCTTGTGTATGTTTAATTTTAGAATGGCCCTGCATAAATATTTTATGATAGTTGCGGTGGCTTGCGGAAAAGTGAACGTCTGTCTGGGCCCCCGCTCTATATTTTTGGTTTGGCTTTGAAACAGGAAATTAGGACTTCATTTTAAATTAGCCTCACAGAAGAGATTGCTCTCCATTGTGGGGTTTGTCTTTGTCATTTTCTAAGCTGGCTGACAGACCACCACACTTTCCCCCATGATCCTCTGAGAAGCCATTGTGTCCAGACATGGACCCTATCATTGTGAAAAGAAGTACACAGTACTTATAATATACTTTAAAAGGATACATTTACTGTTACATTGTGGCATCTTCTGAAACATTGCGTCCAGATCTGACTAGTAACAATCATTTGGAAGCAGAAATGTGATTGGCCGGTTATCAGCCAACTGTGAAGGGACATTTTTTTTGCTTAGCAACTGGACAGAGCTACTTGTAGCATTTATGGCTCTGTTGTCTTTGCACATAGTTGAGCTTTTGTGAAGCTGTACTGTTGAGATCACACACACTATCAGGACATTGTATCTGGATAGGCCATGCGTTTTTGCTCTTATGAACCAGAGTCCCTCATTTCGTTTGATGTTGCAGATTGTGTCTTACTGTCCTTATACAACTTGTCAGTTCGTAAGCTTTTGTTGAGTTAAGCAGGATTGGAGGTTTTGAAGTGAAGTGTTTCCCAGAAGCAGAGCTAAATGAAGTGAGCATGTCCTGTTCAGTCCTCACAGGACCCAAAACCGATAGAAACAGCAGAACTCTTATTATAAACTGTATTATAATGCTATTACTGCACAGTTATTGGAAGACCTAAAGCAGTTACGGTAGACTTAATAACAGAGGAAATAAAAGGCATTTTTAAAAGACACATTCAAAGGAATAATAGTCATGTTTGCAGCAATTTGCAATGGAAGTCTATGAGGAAAAAGCAATCCAGAGGGTTTAAAAGCAGAAATGAGCAGGTTGTGTGTGTGTGTGTGTGTGTGTGAGTGTGTTTTAAGCACTTATATAGTAAACCTTCCATTCACAAATGTGTGGTATTTGAGCTGTAAAGCTGTTTAAGTTGTGATTTTATTGGTGGGACTGCTGTTTTAGATACTGTAAAGGAACTCGTGTTAAGTCATGTTTCTATACACCATCGGCCAAGTTTGGGGCAGATGATATTTTATATTGGTTTGGAAATAAGTCTCTCAATTAGGCTTTTGATAAAAAAGTAATACTAATATGTAGGGATGCACCGATACCACTTTTTCCAGTACTCGCCCGATACCGATACTTTTATTTTTGGTACTTGCCGAAACCGAGTACCGATACCAATATTTTTATTGCATTTGTAAATTTTTTAAATATTGGGCTGATTTTATGCTCAAGAAACATTTCTGATTATTACCAGTGTTGAAAACAGCTATGCTGCCTAATATTTCTTTATCATGATTAGAAACCATGATACTTATTTACTTTATTTATTTCAGAAATTTTTAATGAATAGAAAGAACATAATTTTTTTTAAATGGACATTTTTTTGTAATAATTTTGTAATAACTTTACTGTTACTTTTATTCAATTGAATGCATCCTTGCTGGGAAAAAGTAATAATAATAATAATAATTTTTACAAAAAAATCATTAAGTCACTATTTACCAAAGCAGGATTAACACATAACATAGTGCAGAATATTCTACTAATCCTAAACTAGTCCTACAGTTGGCAACGCCTGTGTTTATACATCTTTATGTTCTGTGGTTAAGTATGTGACCTTTCCTGAGCTCAGTTTGGTTGTTTAGGGATATTAGCCCTCATTGAGAAAAGCCCTAATGAATGCTCCACCATGTCAACACAGTCAGCCGAAGTTTCAATGATTCTGGGGGTTAGAGGTCAATATGAAGTGGTTGCTAGGCAAACGGTTTGCGAGGAGGTAAACAATCCTGTGTCGCTTACTTTGGCTTTCCAGGAAAAAGGATAATAGGTCACTACTTGTCTTAACCTGTGATAGATGTTCACCCATGTCACAAAGTTTCACTTGGGTCCGAGGCATGACTATGCTTTTTCTTTTTTTTTTTTTTTTTTTTCTTTTATTTTCCCCTTTTGGAACATTGTAATGTCTTTGCTTTAGTGAATGTTAAAATTACCTTATTTAAGCTTTTAATGAGATCTTTTGTTTTTTTTTTTTTTTTTTATGTCCTTCATCTGTCCCTGTGTGAATCCTGAGGTATTTTTAGCATTCATTGGACTCTCCCTGGTGTGATAGATGGAGGGTCACTAGACCTCAGATCTGAGCATAAGCCTCTTTGATTTCTCATTTTTGCTGCGGCAGCTACAGCTGTGACGGCTCTTATGTAACCGCAGCGCTGCATGACTCATCAGTCTTAACCTTCTACAAATTCACAGAAACTATGCTGATATTGAGCTCCCTGCAATTTAAGATTTAATCAAACGGCTTAAATGCAGGGGTGATACATCATTTACCATTACTTATTCTCAATTTAAGTCCATCCTCAGGCTGTGATTATAAAGTAAATGTACTATATTCAGGTGTTTCCTTTCCATTCAATGCCATTTTTGTTAGTTATTATTATTATTTTTTTCAGTTTTAGTTTTAGCTATTTTAGTACATCAAGTTAAACATAAAATCAAAATTAAAAATAGCAACTAGCTAAAATAAAAAAAGTTAGGTTTTACATAATTTTATTTAATTTAATTCAGTTAACTCTTTTTTTTCAAGTAAAATTTTTTTATGGTTTTAGTTTTAATTTTAATTAACTATAATTACCTTGATTTTATGAAAGGTGTATGTATGTAAAATGTATCCACTACTGTTATATGTTCTGTTATGCTCTTATATTAATTTATTTTTGGTCTCTTATTACAGTATATCTTAACTGTTAGCGGGCAATAAAATAGGCAATTTCTTTCACCTAAAATTTGTGACTGCAACAAATTAGTTAGTGTCTTACTTTTTATTTCTGAAGCATTGCACGTTGTAGCTCCGCCAACAGCTAAATTCCATTGGTCCAAAATCTGTCTAATATATGTGACCCTGGACCACAAAACCAGTCATAAGGGTCAATTTTTCGAAATAGAGATTTATACATTATCTGAAAGCTGAATAAATAAGCTTTCCATTGATGTATGGTTTGTTAGGATAGGACAATATTTGGCCGAGATACAACTATTTGAACATCTAGAATCTGAGTGTGCAAAAAAATCTAAATATTGAGAAAATTGCCGTTAAAGCTGTCCAAACGAAGTCCATAGCAATACATATTACTAATCAAAAATTACGTTTTAATATATATACGGTAGAAAATTTACAAAATATTTTCATGGAACATGATCTTTACTTAATATATTAATTATTTTTGTCATAAAAGAAAAATCAATAATTTTGACCCATACAATGTATTGTTGGCTATTGCTACAAATATACCCCAGTTAGGATAGGACAATATTTGGCCGAGATACAACTATTTGAACATCTAGAATCTGAGGGTGCAAAAAAATCTAAATATTGAGAAAATTGCCGTTAAAGCTGTCCAAACGGAGTCCATAGCAATACATATTACTAATCAAAAATTACGTTTTAATATATATACGGTAGAAAATTTACAAAATATTTTCATGGAACATGATCTTTACTTAATATATTAATTATTTTTGTCATAAAAGAAAAATCAATAATTTTGACCCATACAATGTATTGTTGGCTATTGCTACAAATATACCCCAGCGACTTAAGACTGGTTTTGTGCTCCAGGCTCACATATATATATATTCAGGTTTTTTTTAAGTAGCTTATATTGGCGAGAAGTCGTGATCTTCTCAATTTAGTCCCACTGTCTCAGCTGAAACTTGTTTAGTAAATTACTCATACCGCCAGTGGCTGTCACAGCAGAACAAACTTTGCTCCTGTGGGTTGATGTAAGATTTGTGTTTCTCTTCAGCTCATGTCTGTCAAGTTTGATGAAGTATTGTGAATGTTACACTCTGCGTCAGCACTGGATCACCATGAGAACTCTGTTTGGAGCTCAGATGTGGTGTAAAGGGCCCATTGATCTCAAGGTGTTGTATTACCCAGACAGCAGAGAAGTCTGAAGTCAAGAGAAGATTTATGTTGCTATAAATGCGAGGATAGCGTTGAAATTGAATAGTGTCACTTCGATCATTTATTAAAAGTAAATTTCTCACTGTAAGAGTCTATTTCTGTAAACCCAATAGGTGTAACAGTGTTTTACTGCAAAGTTTAGTGACCTTTATTCTGTAATGCTGGTTTTGTAAATTCTTAATGTACTGTAATTTCTTCCGTGCATAGCGGCCCCATGCTGAGTGCTTCAGTCCATTTGTTATAACTGCCCTACAACACAGTTAGCTTACTAATGGGTAAAATGTCAAGCATGGAAATTGAAGTAATGCATTTGACTGAGATGATCATATTCTGGTCTGTTTTGTGTGCAGGTGTAGATCCGTCTCTGCAGATAGAACATAGGATCCAAACGTCGTCACAGGTGGCCCCTCCAGGCTCCAAACAGAACAAGCCCCGGGTGGCAAACTCAAGGGATGAACGCTTTAGATCAGGTAGAAACATGTCTCTGTTAATCATGAGGGACAAGCACAACAGACACTAATTGACTCTTGTGGAAAAAGTACACTTCAGCATAACTATAAAAAAATGTGTGTACTTAAGTGTGAACTGAATGTATCATTTTCAGACACGTCATCACGTTAATTGCAATTAAATAAAAAATATATATTATAGTTTAAATATATTAAATGCAATTGGCTGAACTTAGAGTGGTTTAACCACTTAAGTACATGTTTTATGTAACTTCACACTCTAAAAAATGCTGGGTTAAATACAACCCAGTGCTGGGTAAAATAGGGACAAACTTGATCTTCTGAGCCTTGAGAGAACAATGCATAGTTTTCTGAATAATAACCTCATTATTTACACAAAGAGAACAGCCTCTGACCACTCAGTTCCCAGTCCACCTTCCCACACGCCTGCATATGGAGATATTTAACAAAGTTCCAGCTTTATTGACCCACTGGCTGCAGATTTAGCTATATGAGTTATCGCATTTAGTTAATACACAAATGTCAGCAATCACAAAATGGACATTAAGAGATTGACAAAATCTTGTTTTTTTTCATCGCTTATGAGACTGAGTTTCTTTTAAGTATTAACCGATTCCCTTGAAGAAATTAAGATGACACAAATGGGACACTTGTTGACAGTAACAGTACAGAGCTCTAACATTAATGTGGACAGTTCAGATCATTTGATTTTTTTAGATTTTAATGGAAAATATTTGAGATCATATTGAAATCCCTGACTTTTGATGGCAAACTTTGGTATTTTGGCAAATTTGAGCACAGTTTGAAACAGTATTATGATCTCTTATGAAACTCGATAGGAAACGTGAGATTACTGGTGTATTTTTCTAAGGAGGAGAAACCTACATCGGCCCTACATTTAATCTCATTGCTGTCTTGAAGAAAAAACTGATACATGAAATCACATTTCAATAATGACAACTCTCAAAATAGATTTTAACGGCATTTTATTGATAGGAAAAGGAGTGTACAGTTTTATCAGCCTAGATCTTCTACGCTGGTGCTGCTGGCATGAACAAAGCCTTCTGCTGTAATATATTCAGATCAGGGCTGCCCCCTAATACTCGACTAACCGTTAGTCGACGACAAGTCAACAAAATTTTATTAGTCGCTGAAAAAAAAAAACAGAAAGTGGTGAGGTCACGTATTCCGTGATGGACAGATTATTCAGGACATGCAAATGTTCATTTCGTTCATCGACTTCAAATGTGACTTATCATCTGAAACATGTAAGTAGTAGCATCATTACATGGCCGCTCGCTTTAACGTTATCCTAGAAAAATGTGCGCTATGCAAGTGTTTGTGCGGAGTGTGAAATCTGAATAGTAGCGCGCTCACTGCATGACAGTTAACTTGGAGGTGCCGGTGCGATCATTTGCATTTAACTTAAAATACTCCATCATTTTTGGTCATACAGATTAGAGTAATACATCTTTCAAATCTGTAAAAGGTCTACTTTCATTTGTGCACACTCACAATAACAACAAAACGTTGTGTTTTTGTAAAATAACGAAAGCAAACAGGGTGCAGATTATGTTCCGTATGAAACGTGCACGTCCACTGTGGAGATGACGAGTCAGTGTCGTCGACTTGGTCACTGCAGTCGAAAATACAGAAAACACTAGATAATCAATTAATTATTATGATGCTAAGACAGTTTTCTTTCTCTTTTTTCCCCCTGAAGCATTCATAATCATTACTTCTGCGGTGCTCTGTGGCAATTATGCGTGCACTTGAGCGCTGATAGGCTATAGGCAATTAAAGGCTCATTATTATGAATTATGTGGTTTATTAATATAAACGTGCGATTAGTTGACTAATCGCTTCAAATGAACGACTACTAGTCGATCAGAAAAATCTTTAGTCGAGGGCAGCCCTAATTCTGATTTACAGGTATTAAAATACATGATGCTCCTGCAAGGTAAAGTAGAAAGAACCCTGTAGTAGATCTAGACAGGTGGTGCTGGGGAGGAGGAGGGCTAAAGAAAACAGGACGGAAATAAATAAGGTTGCATATATAGGAAAGAGAGATCGATTGGCTGTGTTGCCGACTTGGAAGAATCAATCAGCTATTCTGAAGAGTTTTATGATCGATTTTTTCATTCCTTTTGGTTATTCAGTGTTATATCTGGATTGATCTTGTTATAACAATAAGACTAAATTTGGCCTTTCACAGTTTATTTTGTTATGTCCGATGATTTCTTTATGATTACACATTATTACATCTTGTGGTCAGAAAAGCTCATCTCTCTCCTCATGTTTGTGTAACGCCTTTGCTTTGTCCATCAATTTGGATTACATTATTGTCTCTCCCTGTTTGTTTAGCGTTAACGAGTTTCTGATTCTTGGTGTCCTGATACACTCTTCTGTCCTTCTTCGGTCAGAATGATGAAGTCAGTGAAAGGTCAGCGGGATTAAAGGTTCAAGGGTGGGGTCAGATCAGCATAACAGGCCCATTGTGGGAATTGGTCATGGTCCGCTAATTCTTTTGTGCCCTGGATGCAGTAATGCACACGCACACATAAAGTGGCTAAGCTGTCTGATTGCCCCGACGGAGATGATCTGATAACCCATCTGGCCTGTCAGATACCCCTCTTGCCTTACGCCCCCAACCCCTCTTACCTCATTCTTGACACACTGTGGTCAGTTTTAAAGAAGTAGTTAACCCAAAAATGAAAAAAAAAAAAAAATGTTTTGATTACAGACTATATTGCTGTATAAGTCTTCTAAATAGCTTTGTGTGAGGAACAAATCAAAATTGAAGGCGTTAATTGCCATAAATTGCTATAAATGCTGTGAAATCTTACCCTTCAGTTCTACCCCATTACAAATCTTATTTTCACCTGCATATAATCATAAACATTTCCTCTTGCAATCAGTCATGTAACATGCAAGAACCAGTGGAGTTTGGTATCACTGACATCAAACCTAGCTACCTCTATATTCTATACCAATAGAGAAGCTTTATTACAGTGTGACTGATTTGATTTAGCTTCTGTCTGGATCTGACCAGCTTGAAAAATGCTGTCTGACCCACTTTCCTGGCCGTTTTTGATGTTGTCTGTCATCTTATACTGTTGTGCATTCATTATCCTGTTAGCTTCTGGTCTGTTCTGTCCTGTGAAACTGTGCCGTGTTTGTCCTCTGGACGTGACCTCTCTTTTCTGGTGGAGTGACTGATAGAGAAGTTTAGAAGAATTATTTCTGCTTTAAAGGTCAGGTTTTCAGTACAGCAGTTGTTAAAAGTACAGTCTTTCTTCGTTCTGTCTTCTCTTGACACACCTACTCATTCCAGTTCATTTCTGTCTCATCCTTTCCCTCCTTGTCATTCTCAATTTCTCTCTCAAATCACTTCTCTTCTCCCTTGACTCTATTTCATGCCTATTGTCTCTGTCTCTTTCTCTTTCAATCTGGCTCTTTCTGCATCTGTGTCAAGGTTACTCTCCAAGTGCCTGAGGACATGAAGTGAGAATAGAATTACAATAGTTCTCACAATGATGAGCCTAATTTTTTTATGGGGTTCTTTTGCGAGCTCCTCATAAATGATTAGACATGCAGAAATTTTAAAAGCAATTCTGATCACATTGGAACAAAATTTCTAAGTCTGAGCAATAATAATGAGGTTTGATTTAGCAAGATTTGCGTACAATTTTTTTTTATTATTTAAAGATGTTCACCAAGACTGCATTTATTTAAGTAAAAACAACAATATTGTGAAATATTATAACCATTTACAAATTCTGTTTTCTATTTTAATATATTTGACTATTGACTATTGATGATTGTCCACCTTGATCTCTAAATCAGCAGCATCATCAGTCATTTCAGTTTCAAAATTTAAGTTTCTGAAACTAATGCTAAGCTTTAGTTTAAATGTAATTCAGGGATTTATTCAGGGTTCAGGACTGTTTTGCACTAATAATAACAGGTATCAGGCACCCTTGAGTGTAAGTAGATTATTCTCCTTCATAAGAATGCTGTTTTGAAGAGATACATTAGGCTAATGCCTTTCACATTTAATGCATGACTGTTTGTTGCTCAGTGTCTGTCTCCTAATTTGCTGGACACGCTCCAAAGTAATTGCTCCCTGTGGGTGATTAATTGCATAATTAATGTTAAATGAATCTGCTACCACCTACAGGCTTCTTGTCAGTCAATCCCTCTCTCTTTTGTCTTTTTACGCATTCATTTGTCCCTTTTCTCAATTAAATTCTGTGCACGTCTAAGCTGTTTAATGGTGGAAAATACAATAAACTTAGAAAAATAACTCCTGAAATGGGTTGTGCAATTTTACTCTAATGTGTTGGATGTTGTTGTTGTTTTTTTTCTATTTTATTTTATGGAATGTATTAAATATGTATTTACATAATATAGTATTACATGCTAGTAGTATGACATGGGAGTTTTACACTTCATTATGTAACTCGTGTTTTTGTTTCAAACATTAAAGTAAGTGACTTGTTGACAATAAGACTTCTGGCCTGGTGGACAATAAAAAAAAAATACTATGAATTTAAACTGAAGTCTCAAATTAAGGAAATTAAATAGTAAATTAACTAGAAAAACACCAGCTCATTAGTGGTAATGCAGCCTAATGATCATTACAGTTTACTTTTCTAATAGAGTTAGTTGATCATGAATTCACTGAGTTCTTTTTCTCATTGTTGTTACACTTTTTAAATCCCAGCAGAAGATGCCTTATGCGTGATGAAATAGTACAGATGGTTTAGCTATTTGACATATTTTATTCATTAATTGGCGGACATCTGTTATTCTCTGTGGCATTACGTTTATAATGTATTTATAATAGGGGGAATGATGTAGTCATGTGTGTTACCATAACTGCAGGCCTCGCATGCTTCGTTTCTGACCACATGAGCATTACATCATCATATGTATTTTCCAGCTTAACCCCCGGCAGTTCTCATCAAAGTGATATTTTAGTCTGGACTGAGAACAAACGCTTTTTGCGTTCTCTTCCATAACAATCATATATTAGTCCTTCTGAAGTTTATGATGGATGCTTTGAATATGGCTTTTATTTTTCTTTTATAAAGACTTTTTACAGCACAGTGGTTCCAAAAAAGTATTTTTAAAGCTTCATTTAAAAATTAAATTAAGATTGTTAGCTCTGAAACGATACAATAATAATTATACTGTTCAAAGGGATGATAGAAAGTAATTTGACATTGGTTATGAAATTTTAGTGGATCATGTTGATAGTTAATGTTTATTTGAGGAGAACTGACTTCATGCATCCACTACCAGCTGATTAAAAGACACTGGGCAAAAAAAGTTCATCCAAAATTTGAGTAGCTACACATGACACTTGACATTTTCCTTTACTTTTGGAGGCCACTGTAAGTATGTTAGTATCATTTCTTTATTTCCGAGAGTGCAAGATGAAGATTTTTTTTTATTTTTAGATGGGTTAGATTAATGGTAATAACTAGTTATGTAATGCATTGATTGTTTGAGGTCTTAAGGCTATGAAGTGATAATCAGACTAATCAGTTATCCAACCAAGTGAGTCTCCAATGTAATGCCTTTTTTTCATATTTCCATATCAGTTATAATGTGAGAGGTTCAAAGATCTGCATAATCTATATTCAAAACAAACTTTAAAAGATATTAAGAGTTTTACCAGAGCAGTATTTTCATATGTTTTTAAGAGCTGCTGAATGTTGATCTGTGTTATTTATAACAAATATAATACAGCCATTAGCATGAAAACTCTTTGAATATATACCAGTTACATCCAGTGTTATTTTAGAGTTATTTGTATACTATTAAAATATGTGGCCCTGGACCACAAAACCAGTCATAATGGTCAATTTCTCGAAATTGAGATTTATGCATCATCTGAAAGCTGAATAAATAAGCTCTCCATTGATGTATGGTTTGTTAGGATAGGACAATATTTGGTCAAGATACATCTATTTGAATATCTAGAATCTGAGGGTGCAAAAAAAATCAAAATATTGAAAAAATTGCCTTTAGCTGTCCAAATGATGTCCTTAGCAATGATCAAAAATTAAGTTTTGATATATTTACGGTAAGAAATTTACAAAATATCTTCATGGAACATGATCTTTACTTAATATCCTAATGATTTTTGGCATAAAAGAAAAATCTATAATTTTGACCCATACAATGTATTTTTGGCTATTGTTACAAATATACCCCAGCGACTTAAGACTGGTTTTGTGCTCCAAGGTCACATATACTATAAAGTATACTATACTTTTTTTTGGTGGATCTCTGATCTTAAAACTGATAACTTGTAATATATTCAGCATGGCTCAACATAAACAAAATACAATTTCTGAGACTATGAAACCTCAATTTAGAGGTGTGTTATTATTTTCCATGTGATCAGACTTACAATTTCACCTGTAAGTAAATGTAAACTTATATTAAAGTACAGACCAAAATGACAATTTGACTTGGACTAGTAAGTGGCCGCCGAGAACATCCTATCAACTACATACTTGGCTTCATTAGATAATTAATATCCTCATAAGACAAATTACCATTTTTAGGTTTATTTGATCCAGTATGGCTTCAATTTAAAATACGTTCTCAGTTCCATAAATCGCTGTTTTATAAATTCTCTGTTTCACAAAACATAACATTGACATTTTGTGATTTTTTAAAATACATTATTGAAATAAAACTCTTCCACCTAACCATTAGTCCTCTTGTTCTTGACCTCCCAGACACCTCCTCCGCATCAGAAGATGAAGGTTCGCTGCGCCGGCAGGGACGGATCGCCTCCTCGTCTCCATACCAGGCACATCCTAGCATTGAGCACTGGTTTAACAGAGTCATCCAGGGCTCCTCCACCTCATCGTCCGCATCCTCCACCTCCTCCCACCCCGGAGGAAGACCCCATCATGCCACAAACACCACCTCTGCTTCAGCCGCAACCGTACTGGCCGACCTCATGGCTCACACACAGCTAGGTCAGTACTCACCACTCAAACTAACCTCTCCTCATATCCCCAGAACAGACTTATTGCCTATTTTTCAAGTCTTCTGAAGCCATGTAATATTTTTGATGTGAGATAAAGTTAAATAATGACTTAAAGTTTGGTCTGTTACTGACACAAAGCTGTCATATGAATTCAGCAGCCAGGATATTGTTCTAAAATGTTTTGTTCTATTCCTTTTTTTTACGTTCTATGGAAAAGAGAAAGTCTTACAGGATTTAAATGACGTGGGTAAATTATGACAGGCTTTTAATCTCTGGGTGAACTGTTCCTTTAAATTAGATTAACCAGCATTTCTTCCTTGGTCAACCTACACTACTGTTTAAAAGTTTGAGGTAGGAAAGATTTTGTTTGTTTTTAAAAGATATCACAGTATCACATTTCTAGAAAAATAGTAAGCAACATAACAGTTGTCAGCATTGATAATAATAATGTTTCTTGAGCAGCAAATCAGTATATTAAAATGATTTGTGACGTGACGCAGAAGACTGGAGTAACGATGCTGAAAATTCAGCTTTGCATCACTACAATAAATCACATTTCAAAATATATTCATCTATATAACAGTTATTTTAAATTGTGATAATATTTCACAATATTGCTGTTTTTTTTTTTTTACTGTATTTCTGATCAAATAAATGCAGCCTTGGTGAGCATGAAATACTTCAAAAATATAAAAAATCTTCCCGACCTCAAACTTCTGAACAGTAGTGGACCTAACATTTTGGCTAAATGTTACAGCTTGGCTACTCTATGTGGGTCCACTAGCTACCCTGTTGAAAAAACCAGCATATGCTGGTTAAGTATGTTTTGAAGCATGGCTGCTGGTTTGAGCTGGTTTAAGCTGGTCCTTAGCTGGTAATGAGCTGGTTTAAGCTGGTCATGTGCTGGTCATGAGCTAGTTTAAGCTGGTCAAGTGCTGGTCATGTGCTGGTCCTGAACAGGAGCTAGTTGCTTAGGACCAGCACATGACCAGTTAAGGACCAGCTTAAACCAGCACAAACCAGCAGCCATTCTTCAAAATATACCTAACCAGCATATGCTGCAGCAAAACCAAAAACTGAAAATTCATGCTGGTCTTTATAGCTGGGTGGCTGGAATTGTGTACTGATCTCAGTCCTGGAGCTCTGATTCTGATAACCCTGTCTTACCCCTAAGTGCAAAATCATCAGCAGGCTTCGCAATGTGTCTGTTACAGCTCAGTGTCTTAAAAACAAAAGAACAGATCTTACGTTCATCTCTATAGTTGCCCATTTGTGCATGACATGCTTACACACTGCTAATGCTATGTTTATAGCACAGGGAGCACTTTACTGCTCTGCTGCTGCTCACGGCGATGCTAAAATCATGGTTTTTAATGTTCTGGCTGCATGCTTTCATGGTGCATGGTTGGTTTTAATTTTTATTTAATTTAATTTTTTCCCGCTGTACTGGCATATCTTTAGGGTCCTGAAGCCAATCCGTGCAGATAAAGCCAGCATTGGCCTTGTTAGTTTGACAGGCAAACAAAAGATCTGAGCAGGTTCCAGTACTGCTGTAAAATAATCATTTTTGGCAACCTTCGCTGTTAATGAATCCTGTTAAAGGAATATCTCATGCAGTACTCACCCTCATATCGTTTCAAGCTATGACGTTTGTTTTATAGTGAAACAAAAAAAGATGTTTTGAAGAATGTTCCTGCTGCTGTGTTCAATATAATAAAAGTAAATGGAGATCAAGCTCTAAACATGACAAAAGGCATGAAAGTATCATAAAAGTAGTCCACATAACTATGTTTATAACTATATTTAACTATATTAACTATAACTATATTCCAACATTGTAAAAAAGCATAATTCTAACAGTAAAAGACTGTAAAAATGCTATAGTAAAAACATGTCAGTTGGTTAACTAAATTCCGTTACTCTATACAGTGAAAAACTGTAATACATTCACGGGGACATGTAATTTTACAGTAAAATACTGTTAAATGTATAGTTGTTGAGAGTGAAAAAGAACTGTACACTGACATTCCCAGAACATCAGTTTGACTGCTGACATTTGGCTTTTCATTGAAGTAACTATGTTTCCTCTTAGTTTCATGACATTGTGCAACTTCTGTATATTTTTATACAGTATTACAATATACATGTAATATTTACCTAAGCTTGTGGAAAACTTACTTATGATGAGCTTTGATTCAACTTTGTCTTTAGCATTTTAAAGTTCAGTGGCAGTATATTATGTAAAAAATAAAATTAAATAAATAAATGAATAATGAATATGTAATTTGGTGTATTACCATTATTTCAGTTAATTAAATATTAAACCCTTATTAAAAATGAATCTTTTTTTACCATAAATGTAAAGCTTAAAATGTTGCTTCCATTTAAAAAAAAAAATTTTTACAGCAAAGGTTTAGTGACCAAAGCTGCCTTTTTTTTTTAGACTTTTAAATGTCTTCATATAAATCATACAGTTTGTTTTGTGTGAAGAACAGACTGGCCTCAGACCTCATTCATGTTTGTAAATTTTAAAGATTGCAGAGTCAAATGGAATACTTTTCTGGTGCTTTTTTGCTCGGTTTTGATCTTGACAGCCCCTCATCGATGTTTGCTTTCAATGTATAAACTGGAACAGAATAAAAACTCTTATTTTATATAAGTTTTGAACAGCATGATAGTGAGTAACACCATAACTGCAGAACACATTCACTTTACTCAGCTGCTCTGCTCTTTACAGAGTTCTGCTTATAAACATTTGCATTCCCCTTATCTCTCCCTTTCTCTCGTCTCCTCCTCTTTCTTTCACCCTCTTTTTCTGCCTTTCTGCCCTTCGAGCTGGCCCTGGGCGCTCACTGTAAATAACCTCAGATTTCACACAGTGTCAGAGCCGCTCTGTGGGTCCACTGTTTTAAAGCAGCCTGCCAGACAAACCCAGCTGTAAGAGGGAAGATTAAATGCAAAACAGCTGCTTGTTGGTTAATAGTGTGGAAATCACTTGTGTATAAAAGACTATAAAGCTCTTCTGTTGGGCGTTTAGAATAAGACAGACATTAATCATCACATGGAATCAGAACATATTTGATGTTTAATTCCATGTTGTTGTCATTGTTGAGCTATATAGAGTTGAATTTTGGACCAATGAGATTTTATGGCAGGCAAATCCTGTGCAGCTTCTTAAATATATGATCAATTTTGTAATTTATCATGGGTTTGATCACAGAACAGTCCATCATGCATTATTATACTTTGACCTCCACTCACCTTTGACCTTTGGCACCTCATGACAGACAACCACAGTGCACCTCCGGATGTGACAGGCCTGTCGGAGCGCTCGGTGCATGCGGAGCGTCCGCAGGTGGCATCAGTGCGAGGGCTTCCACGTGGATACACACACACCAGCGTCATGGAGACCGCCGATGGTGAGTCCCCTAAAGCTTCAGCCTGCTGTCACCACAACAGCAGAGCATCTTCCTGTCTCACACGTCTCTTTCCTGTAAGAAAGAGGGAATATCATGTCATCTCTCCACAGAACTCTCTACACTACTGCGTCCAGAAGTTCAAGACTGATTTGTGTTTAGCGATTGAGACTCGAAGCTAAAAATGCTTAGCACACATACATATAAAGTTGACTTATCCAACATTCTGGATCATTTTTTTTTACAGTTATCTATTGAAAAGGAGTGGGATATTTTGCCTGTTTTTTGTATGTTTCTGCTTATTCAAGCCAGACAGTATCATGTCATCAGCATGCTCTTTTGTAGGAATAGTTCACTAAAAAAGGAAAAGTCTGTCATCATCTACTCACCTGCATGTCACTGTAAAATATAGTCTAATTTACTCTTCCACACATTCACCCCTAGTGTGTTGATAATACACACACAAAAAAAGTTTGTATGCAGTTTCGTTTCCACCCATTTCTTTTTTCTTCTACAGTGTCATGGCAATATAAAAATATAAAAATCCTGGCCAAGAAGTGTGCCGTATAAATGGCACAGGTGATCGGACCAATCATAACGCCAAATCCGCCATTTTTTGTCCGACAAACAAATCAGACAGGAGAGTAGATTAACTTCGGTGGACTTAAACTTTAAAATGGTGTGTATTGATGTCTTTCCGCGGTAGAAATAAAATACCTTCTGATGTCATTCATGTTTATTTTGTGCTATAACTAGTAAATATGAATTATGAAAAGGTGATTGGTTCACGTGCCACTTAAACTGAGATGCTACAGCGATCTGTCACGACACATTAAAGAGCCACAAAATGGTATTTATTGTTTGAATTTCTTTAAAAAATTACAAAATTTAAAAGCTGAGACTTTGTTTCATACCTAAAGTAACCTGCTATGTTTTGTCTGTCGGCGTTTTGTCAGTTTCCTCTTTGCTCCACAATGTATTTTTCACTGCATGAGAACATGGTGTGTAGTGTGAGAGCAGCATGGCTTGTCAGACATAGCAACAGTAACTAAGGGGGGCGGGGCTTTGCGAAGGGTCAGTTGGGTGGAAATCTGTTAAATCTGGCAACACTACCTTTTGAAAGAATAGTTCATCTAGGGCGGGTCTTTGCGAAGGGTCAGTTGTGAATTGAGATGAAAGGTAACTTTTTTAGCTATCATTTGGCTTTATAATGCTCAAAATATGCTTTGTGAGATGTATGAACTTATTGTGCGTTTTTGTCACAATTTCACTGTATGTCCTTTTATGTTCCATTTTTTGAGTGACATTAGGGTATATAGATGATGACTCATCAATTTTCATTTTTTTTAGGTGTACTGTTCCTTTAAGACATAGAGCTGAACATCACAACTATACATCAGCTGTGGTGTATTAGTTCTTGGATGAATGTTTAGTTATGGTTAAACACAACAAAACTAAAAGCAACAAAAATAATTCGATTTCCCCCCCCCCCAGAAAGATTATGTCTGCCATGCTCAATTTGAGTCACCTCAGCTCTGTAGAAGCAGCATGCTGTCATGAACGTGCATGTTTATTCACGTTTTCTCTTCTTCAGGCACTGACAGGGGAGATGGGGAGGCCATGGATGGTATTTATACATGTTTATTTCAATCTGCCCCTCCTCCTGGTGTCTCTGTGCATCTGTGTCTCAGCTGTGACCTCTGTGTTAAACGCTGTCTGCTTAACTTGTCCACTATGTCATTTTTGGAAATTACTATCATAAGAAAAGTATTTCCTCCTAATGTGTCTCTTTGTCTTTTTAATGTCGTTTAATTATTCTTTCAAGGTCTTTTCGCAGCGCTTATTTATAGATTTTGCATTATGACAAGATACAACAGAATTGTCTAGAAATATCTGGGACTAAGAATGTTTTAGATGTGTTTGTGTTGATCTTTTGTGAAAGAGAAAGTACACTTTTGCATACTTTTAAAGAGTACTTATTACAGAAAGAACATACTTAAGTGTGAAATGAATGTAATGTTTTCGGATGCTCAATTGCATGTTGATTCCAATTAAATAAAAAATGTTATAGTCTACATTTATATAAAATGCACTTAAGTATAACTTAAGAACATCTGACAAGCATTTATTGTACACTTAAAATACTTAAATGTTATTTCTATTGGAACTTGTAGTCATGTATTTAAATATATTCGTAATTACACATTTTGTAATGATGAAGATAAAATGTAGTACTTTTTAAAAATATATTAACCTTGAATATAATATTTAATACTGAACACACTACAGTTAAAATTATAATCAAGTACTTTACATGTGCTTTAGTATGTTAGTCAACTCATCAAAATAAGTGTACTTTAAAGCAGGACAGAAGATAAAAGAGAATTATTTAAATTTACTTTAAAACCTTTCATTTGACATTATTACAAAGTGTACTTAAGGGTGTTAAGAAACATACGTTACACTTAAGTACACTTAAGTTACATTTTTTCATTATCTTATATTATCTGCAAGTACAGTTGTTGGTTTTTATATAATTTGGACTGAAATGGAACATTCTCTACAGTTAAGTGCACTTTTTCACAAGGGAAAGTTTGTATTTAAGTAAATGTGTGAAGAGATAATTAGACAAATGGTCCTTGCTTTTAACAACTAGGTTATGCTATGCTCTGTGATTTTTGTTACTTTTTTATATGATATGCACTCTACAAAAGATACTTTTAGTAAAACATTTAGTTAAAATGAAATAATTATGGCCATAGAATAGCATTGGGTACTTTGATACTGTATATCATTGCAGGCCTACAGACTGATAACCTTACAGTACATTGGTACTTGCATGGTACTGCAAAGAATACCGTAGTGCTACAATAGTAGATGTTAAACAAAACATGGTGTTATAATGGCACCATGTTCAAAAGTGGTACATTTTTGTTGGCGAATACAAGCTTGGTTGAATAGTGTTGCACATTAGCCACAGTATCATGGTAGTGATAGTGTGTGATTATTATGTTTAATAAGGTTAATATGGCTTATGGACATTTATGAGGCAGGATAACAGTAGTTATGTTGTGGTTATCCTCACATGAGAGGATTTATTCTTGTGTGTTTGGGGAGCTGTTACAGTAATTGGCTTCCTCAGGTCCTGCAGTGCATTCTGGGTACTTGAGCACGGTCTGTGAGTGCGTGTGAGATGCAGACAGAGATGAGGGGCAGACAGACAGCGGCTGAGGCTCAGGTGTCTCATGACAATGGAATGTCAGAGAGCATCTCAGTCATGCATATATACATGACACAGCCATCTCTCGGTGGAATTCACAGACAGACATTTAACAGAGAAATGAAAGAATAGATTCATCATGTGAAGATGATCGTTGTGTCTTGATGTTTGGTTCTGTTCTCTCTTAACTATCATGTGAAGGCCTATGTTTACCTCAATAGAAACGTTTGATGGGTGATTCTATTTTAATTGTTATGAACCCGCTGAGAAATGTTCCTCAAAAATTTTTTGGGGCAATGTAGCATAATTATTACACTATAAATTAAAGAGCTTTTTTTTTTTTCTTCATTACACATGGGTGATTTTGTGGTGTTTCTGTGACTGTTTGCTATATTCATAATTATGTAGGATACTTATGAAAGATCAGCAATCACCATTTTAAACAGGCACAGTAAATGTATTTTGGACAATAAATGTAATTATTAAATAAATTATGTAATGAACAGTGTATCCATTTTACATCCCTATTGGTAAAACTAAAGACATTAACACCAAGAAATCACTGTAACAATAATAATATCAATAAATCATCATCATCATCATTATTTCTTTGTACAAATGTCGGTAACACTTTATTTTGATAGTCCACTTTAGACATTCTATTAACAGTAAGTAACTTTGCAACTACATGTCAACTAGCAGTTAGTAGAGTATTAGTAGACTGTCTGCTTAATATCTTCTAACACTTTCTTTGTCAACATTCTACTAACCCTAAACCTACCCTAACAGTCTACTCTGAGAGTTAGTAGACATCTAGTTGCAAATTAATGAGAATTAGTTGACATGTAGTTGACATGTAGTTACAAAGTTACTTATAGTTAATAGAATGTCTAAAGTGGACTATCGCAATAAAGTGTAACCCAAATGTCTTCTAAAAATAGGTTCTTCTAAAGGACGTCAATACATTATTTGGCTTTTGGCCCTCAATTTTAATTGGATTATTTTTTGTTATTACTTAATCTGCCTAAATCTCCATCAGTGTTTTGATGATTTATATATTTTTAGTACATTTTTCTTCATTTCATGTAAAAATATTTTATGCATGGGGAATTGCTCAGACATGTTTGTAACACTTTGTAGAATTACCCTGGTGCTCATGTGATACTGTGATATTGTTTAACATGTATTAACTTATTCATTGCATCTTTTGTCCCTGTGTTTCATGTGAATGGAGTTTTAATCTATTTAAACTATAGTAATCCTAAATGATCCATGATCAGATGGACTCTTTCAGAAGAAAGCTCATGAATGGTTGATGAGATGGGTGGCTGGGTAGCGGCTTGTTGCTAGGCAGCACAAGTCCAGCTGCTTCAATCAGAGTCAAGGAGACTTTGATGCTCTGGGTCAGGTGTCTCTACTGAGCACGCTCAGTACCATCTTAACCAACCCCATGGGCATACAGCCTTACATTGACTGACAGGCTGTTGTGTGAAACTGTCCCCACCATCCTTTCACAATGACCTTTCCCTGCTTTTTTATCTCATCCTCTCCATCTTTCTCTCTTTTTCTATGTCCTATCTTCTCCTGACACTATCTCTGTCTAAAGGCGTTCCAGTCAACAGTCGAGTGTCCTCTAAGATTCAGCAGCTCCTAAACACTCTGAAAAGGCCAAAGAGACCCCCTTTACGAGAGTTCTTTGTTGATGATTTTGAGGAACTTTTGGACGGTAGGTTCATATATCTACAAATATCTAATTCCGCCATGAAACTGCTAGCATTCACATAATTTACTTAATGCTGTTTAGTCTCTGCTCAGCTAATGAGCTTGCTTGCTCAACATGTAAATAGTCTGGTTAAGTGTTCGCTGTAATCTAGTCCTGCAGTGTGTTCCTCTGAAACCCTCTACCTCCCCCAGCTCCACCTGTCTAGGAGTGTGTTCCACTTCACTTTTAGATACAAACTCACTTTACCTTGGGGAATTCCCACTGCCATTTTGATCAAGTCAAGTGGTGGGCAAAGGAAGTTTGCATTGACATACCCTCAACCCGAGTCTTTTTTATATGAACACTTCAGGCAGCTCCATATACCACAATGCAACATGACTGTGACATACTCCATACGCCATAGCAGATTACAAGCAATCAAGGGCATTTCAATTCAACTCATTGCAATGGTTCTGCCAGTAGTGGGCACTTGTGCAACATAAGCAATGATGTGTATTCAAGTAAACAAGACAGAGGGACGTTAGCAAGGGAAGTTCATAAAAGGCAAAGTATAACGCACCCTTTATCTGCTATGGGATTTTATGATCATGGAATTGAAATTATTTGGCTTACTGAGGAGAGCTGTACTATTACTTGTGATTAAACATAGCTTTTTCACTTGGCGGACAATAAAGTTGACAAAAAATTGCATATATTGACATTAAAGTAGTGACCTCAGCTAAGATGCTAAGAACAAAATATTGTAGAGACTTGAAATTGAGCTCTTTTGTAACGAAACCACCACATCATGATAGCGAGGACAGACACCAATCACATTTCCTTCAGAGAATGTAAAAATTAGTTTTAGTATTCTGGAGGAACTTTAAAACTTGAGCCATGTCTCACACTCAAGCCCTCCATCGCCATATATATATATTTACTTTCATCTCACAAAAGGGTTCTATGAAAACATGAAGGCTTCTATGAAAACAAAAATGTGAATTGGCATTTACACTGACATTGAATATCCTTACTCATAACCTTTTGCTACTGACCCAGGAGACAGGAAAATAACACAAAACAACATATTTGAATAAGGCAGCCATATTAAGAATATGAGTTATTTCTGCCTGATGTGTGGTGTGTCACTGTGAAGGGTTGAATGCGTCTGGAAATGGCTAGAGAAATTTAACTCAGCTTTCTAAAATAATGTGGTTAATCACGGTTCTTTCATGATTTAACAGGAGGGGGCAATTAATTTTTCACGTAGGGCCAGGCAGGTTTGGACAGCTTTTTTCCCTTAATAAATGAAATCATCATTTAACAACTGCATTTTGTATTTACTTGCATTATATTTGTGTAATATTAAAATGTGTGTGATGATCTGAATCTTTTAAGTGTGACAAATATGCAAAAAAAAAACTTTTCACAGCACTGTATATATATATGTGTGTGTGTGTGTGTGTGTGTGTGTGTGTGTGTGTGTGTTTTAAATCATTTTAAATCTTAATAATATTTTCACATCTTCTTCTTTCAAAAACATAAAAATATTTTTGCCAACCCCAAACTTTGAATGGTAGTGCATTAAAAAAAAGAAAGAAAGAAACTTTTGTTCAAGGTTCTTTTAAGGTTCTTTATTTGTCACATACATATTACATACATATTGAGAAAGTGGACCTGTTTACTGAGAGTTTGGAGTGACCTGCTCCTGTTTCTGTGGTAACAGTGACTTCTCTGATTGGTCAATCTCAAGTCAGGATTTTATTCAGCAGTTAAAAGGTTTAAAAAGGTTTAAACATTATTACTCAAGTCAATTTCTCAGAAAATGAATGGGATGTTTTATTATATACCTTTGTTTATATTATATATAGAATTTGTTTATTTATGCATATAAACATAACATTGTATGCCATACTCAAATTATTCAGCCTTTTATGTGTTCCTGCATTATGGAGATAAACTCTTATTTTATTATTGTTGTTATAGTTGTTATATAGTGATAGTATAGTGATCCACAAATTTACAGGTTGTTAAAGTTTGAGAACCCCTCTGAATCCTCTGAATCTTTCCTTTTTCTCTCTTTGTTCAGTCAGTCATTTCTTACGTTTCTTAAAAATATGCTGAGAAATACACTTTCGTATTCTCTTAGCAGCAGCATCTTCACTTTATATTCTGTCTCTCTCTCTCTTTCTCTCTGCTTTTCTTTCTCTTTCTGTTCCAGACGCACAAAATCAATCAAATCTATTTAAAGTCGTGTCACATATCATCCTCGGGATGCATAAGTCACCCTGAGATGCTCAGTGACATTTAAAATCACTCTCACATAAACTCTGCTCCAAAACCCAGTGAGCTGCTTACAGTGTAAGGCAGCATCTATCATGAAACCATATAAATGACTGATTTTGAACACTGTATATAGGCAGAAGACTCAACTTGGTAGTGATTTCAATAAGCACGCAATACAATAATACATTTCATAGGTGGAAAATAATTGATTTTTAATTACACTGACTAAATGTCTTAGTATCGGTAAGTATACGTTTATATATATAATCTGTAATAATCTGCATAATGTATATTTGCATAAAACAAACCACATAGGGTATATACTACTTCAGTGTTGTATTAAAAAACACACACAGCAGCAGCAGATCTACATGTCTGTCTCTGACATGATTTCCTGTCATCTACAGTTCAGCATCCAGATCCAAACCAGCCGAAGCCTGAGGGGGGTGAGATGAGACCCCTGAATGGGGAGCCGCTGGGGGTGGTCACTAACTGGCCTCTGTCATTACTGGCCTCTTTACAGCGCTGGGGCACCACACAACCCAAAAGCCCCTGCCTCACCGCACTGGACAACGCCGGCAAACCCATCTACACACTAACATATGGTACAGTGAAACCTCCCATTGAATTAAATGCAGCAATTTACATGTATACTCCTGTTTCCTGAACTACACTACTTTGTAGTGCATATGCAATTGTTATTCATGTCTTGTTCAAAATTACATGTACTTATTTATCATCAGTGTTGGGGAGTAACTAGTAACATGTAACGGAATTACGTAATTTAATTACAAAATGAATGTAACTGTAATCTGTTATAGATACTGAGAGAAAAAAAAGTGTAAATAAATTACAGTTACTTATGAAAATGTTAACAATTACAAAGGGGTAATATTTTCACACACATACAGATTTGATTGATTTTCACAGCACTGTATATATATATGTGTGTGTGTGTGTGTGTGTGTGTGTGTGTGTGTGTGTGTTTTAAATCATTTTAAATCTTAATAATATTTTCACATCTTCTTCTTTCAAAAACATAAAAATATTTTTGCCAACCCCAAACTTTGAATGGTAGTGCATTAAAAAAAAGAAAGAAAGAAACTTTTGTTCAAGGTTCTTTTAAGGTTCTTTATTTGTCACATACATATTACATACATATTGAGAAAGTGGACCTGTTTACTGAGAGTTTGGAGTGACCTGCTCCTGTTTCTGTGGTAACAGTGACTTCTCTGATTGGTCAATCTCAAGTCAGGATTTTATTCAGCAGTTAAAAGGTTTAAAAAGGTTTAAACATTATTACTCAAGTCAATTTCTCAGAAAATGAATGGGATGTTTTATTATATACCTTTGTTTATATTATATATAGAATTTGTTTATTTATGCATATAAACATAACATTGTATGCCATACTCAAATTATTCAGCCTTTTATGTGTTCCTGCATTATGGAGATAAACTCTTATTTTATTATTGTTGTTATATACACTGTCCAGTGATAGTATAGTGATCCACAAATTTACAGGTTGTTAAAGTTTGAGAACCCCTCTGAATCTATCTCTACTTTCCTTTTTCTCTCTTTGTTCAGTCAGTCATTTCTTACGTTTCTTAAAAATATGCTGAGAAATACACTTTCGTATTCTCTTAGCAGCAGCATCTTCACTTTATATTCTGTCTCTCTCTCTCTTTCTCTCTGCTTTTCTTTCTCTTTCTGTTCCAGATGCACAAAATCAATCAAATCTATTTAAAGTCGTGTCACATATCATCCTCGGGATGCATAAGTCACCCTGAGATGCTCAGTGACATTTAAAATCACTCTCACATAAACTCTGCTCCAAAACCCAGTGAGCTGCTTACAGTGTAAGGCAGCATCTATCATGAAACCATATAAATGACTGATTTTGAACACTGTATATAGGCAGAAGACTCAACTTGGTAGTGATTTCAATAAGCACGCAATACAATAATACATTTCATAGGTGGAAAATAATTGATTTTTAATTACACTGACTAAATGTCTTAGTATCGGTAAGTATACGTTTATATATATAATCTGTAATAATCTGCATAATGTATATTTGCATAAAACAAACCACATAGGGTATATACTACTTCAGTGTTGTATTAAAAAACACACACAGCAGCAGCAGATCTACATGTCTGTCTCTGACATGATTTCCTGTCATCTACAGTCCAGCATCCAGATCCAAACCAGCCGAAGCCTGAGGGGGGTGAGATGAGACCCCTGAATGGGGAGCCGCTGGGGGTGGTCACTAACTGGCCTCTGTCATTACTGGCCTCTTTACAGCGCTGGGGCACCACACAACCCAAAAGCCCCTGCCTCACCGCACTGGACAACGCCGGCAAACCCATCTACACACTAACATATGGTACAGTGAAACCTCCCATTGAATTAAATGCAGCAATTTACATGTATACTCCTGTTTCCTGAACTACACTACTTTGTAGTGCATATGCAATTGTTATTCATGTCTTGTTCAAAATTACATGTACTTATTTATCATCAGTGTTGGGGAGTAACTAGTAACATGTAACGGAATTACGTAATTTAATTACAAAATGAATGTAACTGTAATCTGTTATAGATACTGAGAGAAAAAAAAGTGTAAATAAATTACAGTTACTTATGAAAATGTTAACAATTACAAAGGGGTAATATTTTCACACACATACAGATTTGATTGATTTCTTTCCCAAATTGCATTGACTGCTGAAAAATATGAGACACCAATGTTTCAGGAGTTTAGGACAACGGATTGTTTCGGTTTTATGTAAATGCGATTATTTTTTAAAGATTCATTGTTTTTCCAAAGCATTGTTAGATGCCAGCGTTTCCTGTCATAGCTATGCAAAGATTTGATTTCAAAAACAGTATCATACTGTAGCTATTAAACTGTATCTTAAATCTGTAACCTCAGAACGACCCCACAGTAAAAAGAGGTGCTAAAGTCTGATTTTGTGGTGGCTGTGCTTTAAAATAAAATTTTTATCATCTTAATTCAAGTGATGAAGGATTTTGAAAATCTAAATCAGTAATCAATGTTGAGTGCTACTGTTAGGTTAACCCTGCCTGCTTTAAATGTTTCAACATGATTAACAGTTGAAAACATTCATTAGAAATTTAGAAAAGTAATCAAAGAGTAATCAAATGTAATCAGTTACATTACTTTAAGTAATTGAAAAAGTTACATTACTTATTACATTTTAAATACGCTAACTTATAATCTGTAACCTGTTACATTTCCAAAGTAACCCTGCCAACACTGTTTATCATAGGGGGTAATCTTATATATTTGACTTGATTTATTTGTGTATATTGCTAGTGTACTCATTTGAAATGGTGAATGAACTCTCATTCATACTGTAAGTGAACAGACAGTGCAGGTTTGAATGTGTGTTTTTGTAAATATGTTTCCGTAGGGAAGTTGTGGACGCGGAGTCAGAAACTTGCTTATACACTGCTGAACAAACTGAGCACCAGGAATGAACCACTACTACGACCTGGAGACAGAGTGAGTGTCCTTATCATGCACATTCACATCCATTTACACCTTGCATTAACTGTCCATTCTGTCATGCAAGATCCCATTCCCCTGCAGAATCCTATCCTGTTTCTCAGTGACTGATCAAAGACATAGCATGTTACCATAATGTCATGTTCTAGCTAATCAAACAAACTAGTAGGCTAAGATGTTAGTATGTCCCAATTTGTATACGTATGCACAATTCGAAGTTATTTTGTAGTATAAAGGAGAAGGAAAATTCCAATAAACCATTTCTGACACAACTTGACATATCCAGTGATGGACGACGTTAATACCAAGTGTAACAGGCCCAGAATAAAAGAAGTAATACACAAACAGTAGCAGTAAACAACATTAATGCTAGAGGTGTAAATAAATCTGCTGTGTATCTCCACAGGTTGCACTTGTGTTCCCCAACAATGATCCTGTGATGTTTATGGTGGCGTTTTATGCATGCCTCCTAGCGGAGCTGGTGCCTGTGCCCATAGAAGTGCCACTCACTCGAAAGGTATTAATCAGCATTACACCAGCACACAGACAACACTAGCATAGATTTCAATCACAATAGAGCCCCCTACAGGAAAAGACACGATATGACACCCTGATCTCCTCACATCTCAGCATTGTCCTTGAAAAAAAGCTTTTAATTTCCAAAACTCAAACCACTGTATGGTATGAGCATAACTTGTATACTGGTAGTCAAAATATAAGTGCTGTTTTCTTAAAGATGTCAGTATGCATTGATATTGTGAGTATGTGAGCATGTATGAATAACTAGTCACTCAGTCCTTGGGTTTTTCTCTTCTGTAAATGACCTGAATGTCTTCTATCTAAAGGTATCATTAGCTGTCTCTGTGCTGCTTTGAAGCGTGTTCCGTTTGATTAATAGAGCCGATGTTCCTGATGGAGACAGCTAATCCTTTAAAATGAAGGACACAATAACACACACGATGCCTTAGTGCTGTGTTATTGTGACTGTGTTATTGCAGACCGTCTGATGAAAGACGGAGAGGGAGTGAGTGGACTGCAGATCGGTGTTGTATTGATGACTGTCTGTGTCTCCTCTCATCAGGATGCAGGCAGTCAGCAGGTGGGGTTTCTGTTGGGCAGCTGTGGGGTCACTCTGGCTCTGACCACTGATGCCTGTCAGAAGGGTCTGCCCAAAGCACAGACCGGAGAAGTTGTCACTTTTAAGGGTGGGTGATCCGTACAAGCCAGTTACTTCATCTTAGGGCTGGACAATAATTCAATATCAATATGTATCGCGATATAATTTTTTTCAATAACGGTGATATGATTTTTAAACACATTTCCGATATTTCGATATACATTACCAGTGTTTCCCATACATTGATTTATTTGTGGCGTTTGACTTCGTTGAATAAACATGAGCACTGCACGTTTCAAAATCAAAAAATGTCGCGGGTGTTTTATATAAATGTATCTGTGAAGGGAACCGACTGTCTTCAGAAAAGTTTCAATGACATTTTCATTTTATCTGATAAAGTAGCATTCATGAGCAGAGCTGCTTTGATTACAGCCATTACTGGAGAAACCGCTAGTTCTATCACTCTAAAAGCGCCTCCTGCTAGCAGAGCATGAGTTTTCATTTTAAATAAGCCCGTCTCCAGCAACATTTCCAGTTTTTGTTGTTCAATTTTTTTGTTTTCTGCAGCAACTCGGAGCACTTTTCATACCCTTTTTTTCTGGCTGAAGCACATTTGTTTCAATCTATAAGAATAATCAGCCTACACTACCAGTCAAAAGTTTTTGAACAGTAAGATTTTTAATGATTTAATTAATTAAATCATTAAAAAATAAATTTTTTTTTTTTTTTTTTTTTAGAATTCTCTTCTGCTCACCAAGGCTGCATTTATTTGATCCAAAGTACAGCAAAAACAGTAAAATGTTAAAATATTTTTACTATTTAAAATTGCTTTCTATTTGAATAGATTTTAAAATGTAATTTATTCCTGTGATCATACATAGGTAAATTTTCAGCATCATTACTCCAGTCTTCAGTGTCACATGATCCTTCAGAAATCATTCTAATATGCTGATTTGCTGATTATCAATATTTAAAACAGTTGAGTAAATTTTTTTCAGGATTCTTTGATGAATAGAAAGAGACAAAGATCAGCATTTATCTGAAATAAAAAGCTTTTGTAACATTATACACTATAGTATTCAAAAGCTTGGAGTCAGTATAATTTTTTTTTTGTGGGGGGATTATAGAAATTAATACTTTTATTTAGCAAGGATGCTTAAAATTGATCAAAAGTGATGATAAAGGCATTTATAATGTTACAAAAGATTTCTATTTCAGATAAATAGTGTTCATATCGATATCGGAATTATATCGTATCGAGATTTTAAAATATTTCTAAATAGAAATAGTTATTTTAAATAGTAAAAATATTTCAAAATATTACTGTTTTTGCTGTATTTTGGATCAAATAAATGCAGGCTTGGTGAGCAGAAGAGACTTCTTTAAAAAACAATAGAAATCTTACTGTTAAAAAACGTTTGACTGGTAGTGTAGGCTGCTTATTCTTATAGATTGAAACAAATGTGGTTCATATCGATATCGGAATTATATCGTATCGACCGAAATTAAGAAATATATCGTGATATCAATTTTGGCCATATCGTCCAGCCCTACTTCATCTTTATTTAATGGTGCTGTTTCTTCGCCTCGGGTATAATGTTTATGTATGTTTTTACAGGCTGGCCACGACTGCTGTGGTTCGTTACTGATGGAAAGCATGTTGTAAAGCCTCCTAAAGACTGGCATCCTCCAATAAGAGACGCTAGCAATGAGATTGCATACATAGAGGTCAGGACCACACTAACTTAATAATGCTTATTTTGAGATAATGACCAATGATAGGTGGATCCATCTGTCTGTCTGTCTATCTTTCTGTCTGTCTATCTTTCTGTCTGTCTATCTTTCTGTCTGTCTATCTTTCTGTCTGTCTGTCTGTCTGTCTGTCTGTCTGCCTGTCTGTCTGTCTGTCTATCTTTCTGTCTGTCTATCTGTCTGTCTGTCTGTCAATCGTTATCTTTGTATTGCGTCATTACGTTAATATAAATAACATGCCAGTGCATCCTGGAAAGTGCTTATGTAGAGTGTTCTAAATCAGTTCTGTCTGTCTGTCTATCTATCTATCTCCATCCATCCATCCATCCATTCATCTGTCTGTCTCCGCCTCTTTCATCCATCCATTCATCCATCCATCCATCCACCTGTCTGTCCATCCGTTCATCTATCTGTCCATCTCTCTAACTGTAAGTCTGTCTTTCTGTACACAGTATAAGACCAGTAAGGAGGGCAGCACTATGGGCATCACGGTGTCTCACTCTGCTATGTTGGCTCACTGTCATGCGCTCACACAGGCCTGCGGATACACAGAGGGTGAGTGTGGGCGACTTACACGCATCACACACAGGCTCTTCTGAGACCGGCCACTGCAGGTCTAGAGTGTCCTACTTCCACTCTCTAAATAACTGCTCACAAACCCTTAACACTCCTCACACAGCAGCTCCTGCAGTATAGACACTGTTAGCCACTTCTTCTGCCTCTGTATACACCTTTAAAACTGGATATGATTGCAAATGTAATTGTTATCAGTGAGATAACTAACTAAAATTCAAAAGTTTTGATATGATTCATGAATGATTTATGATGTTTTACTTGCTGCTGTCACATACATCACACCATTTATTGTAAATGTTTTTTGCATTATACACCACAAAATGTTTACTGTGATTTTACTCACTTGTATAGGTGAAATTATAACAAATGTTTTGGACTTCAAACGAGATGCTGGTCTGTGGCACGGGGTCCTCACGGTAAGTCATACTGGTAAAAAATGTATAGCCTGAATGCACTGTAAGTCGCTTTGGATAAAAGCGTCTGCTAAATGCATAAATTATTAATTATTATAATTATTAATTATAATTAAGTCAGACACGTGTGGTTGACATCTGGTTTGATACGTTCACATACACTCACACATGGATAAGGAGTTAGATCACTTCGCACTCATCCAGCTGTCTTTTGGTTTCTTAACCTGTGTCCTTGGCAACTGCTGTCATGGTGATGTGTGTTCAGAGTGTGATGAACCGAATGCACGTGATCAGCATCCCATACTCGCTGATGAAGGTCAACCCTCTCTCCTGGATCCAGAAAGTCCACACCTATAAAGGTGAGTGTACTGCCTAAAGCCAGACCGCCTGTGTGTCATGATCTTTTACCACAGAACTATGGCCACTTACATATGGATAAACCAAATTAAGTTATGTGAGATGCAGTTGCTGTTTATTTAAAATCGCTATTTTGCATTGCAATTAACTGTATTTTTCGTCAGATTAGAGGCTTTTTATGGACTCAATTCTAAGAGTTGATTCCAAACGTTTTTTTGACTCGTAAGTAAAAAGGAGGTTAAGTGAGTTAAACCTGTGAAACCTGTTACAGTAAATAAAGAATTAGCAAGATTTGTATTTTAAATAAATGCTGTAGAATCATAAAAAATGTACCACAGTTTCCAAAAAAAATATTAAACATCAGCACATTAGAATGATTTCTGAAGGATCATGTGACACTGAAGACTGGAGTAATGCTGCTAAAAATGTAGCTTTGCCATCAGAGGAATACATTTCTTTTTAAAATATATTAAAATAAAAAACAGTTTTAAATTGTAATAATAATTCACAATATTGCTGTTTTTACTGCATTTTTGATTAAACAAATGCAGTCTTGGTGAGCATATAAGAGACTTTCGGACAGTAGAGTGTATACTCCTTCACATTTCTTCAGATTATATGTATTATGAAAATTCATTCATAATATTTAAAAAGGACACACTTTTGCCACCTACAGGTTAAATGATGTAACTGCAGAAAGAGGAGTTTGTGAACTTTTTAGTCAAAACTTATTTATAAAATACTTTCTACTGGATTAAAATTGTTCAGAAATATTATATAATCTGCAAACAGATCATTGTGAACAAATGTTAATTTTAAGTGAAACCTTTCAAAAGAGTAAAATATTTTTCAGTATTCTTGCAGATTTTGCACTCTGACATGTAAGTTTAAGGTAAATAGTTGGTCTCTATATGTGACCCTGGACCACAAAACCAGTCATAAGGGTCTTTTTTTTTAAATGTTTTATTGAGATTGATACATCATCTGAAATCTGGATAAATAAGCTTTCCGTTGATGTATGGTTTGTTAGGATAGGACAAAATGTGACTGAGATACAACTATTTGAAAATCTGGAATCTGAGGGTGCAAAAAAATCAAGATATTGAGAAAATTGGCTTTAAAGTTGTCCAAATTAAGTCTTAGCAATGCATATTACTAATCAAAAATTAACTTTTGATATATTGACGGTAGGACATTTACAAAATATCTTCATGAAACATGATCTTTACTTAATATCCTAATGATTTTTGGCATTAAAAAAAATCAATAATTTTGACCCATACAATGTATTGTTGGCTATTGCTACAAATATACCCGTGCTACTTAAGACTGGTTTTGTGCTCCAGGGTCACATATAGATATATGTTTCACATCATAGCTGTTACTACACTGATTAAATGCTGTGTGACTGTTTGCATGTTTATATGTCCTGTGTTTTTCAAACAGCGCGTGTAGCAGTGGTGAAATCCAGGGATATGCACTGGTCACTTTTAGCCCAGCGGGATCAGAGAGACATCAGTCTCAGTTCTCTCCGCATGCTCATCGTTGCTGATGGAGCAAACCCATGTGAGTATACACTTAAACAGAACAATCTGAGAACAAGCATAATTCCAAATCGAATGGAACACAGCCTGAACTGTCGCTGCAACACTGTGTATGTTGTGTATATTGAAATACAGGGTCTATTTCGTCCTGCGATGCCTTCCTCAACGTCTTTCAGGCCCGCGGGCTGCGACCAGAGGTGATCTGCCCGTGTGCAAGTTCCTCTGAGGCCATGACTGTCGCCATCCGCAGGTACACTGATGACATTACAGCAACTTGCTACTGTAAAACCACTACTGTTCTAGTGCATGCATTCTGCCCAGTTTACACAAGACACTGCTTGCTATTTTATTTCACCATATTATCTAATGCATTTCAGTTATCATCTCAGAAATGACAATGGCATTTTGCATTTGAATTTGCATATGGCAGTATCATTTTCCAGAGCCCAAATCCATGTTGAATGACTCTGTATGTGTGTGTTCAGGCCTCCAGAGATGGGTGTTCCTCCTCCGGGTAAGGCAGTGCTGTCCATGAGTGGTCTGAGTTATGGGGTGATTCGAGTAGACACAGAGGAGAAGCTCTCTGTGCTCACTGTCCAGGATGTAGGACAGGTCATGCCTGGAGGTGAGACCTGCTTTACTCTCACTGATTGATCTATGGACTGAAAAACGGTTTTGATTGGATGAATAGTGTGATGAAGAAATGCTTTACTTTTTGGCACTTTATGTTTAACATTCTATTATTCTGAATTTTTTATTTCTCTTGGGGACTAATGTACTGTCTATGCATCTGTGTGTGTGTGTGTGTGTGTATGTGTGTGCAGCGCTGGTGTGTGTGATTCGGTTAGAGGGCACGCCATACTTGTGTCGAATGGATGAGGTTGGAGAAATCTGTGTGAGCTCCAGAAGTACAGGAATCTCCTACTATGGTCTGCCAGGCATGACCAAGAATGTCTTTGAGGTAAACAAAAGGTCCAATGATTTTTAAACATAGTGTTGGCCTTAAAATGTTCAATCAATATTCGATTTTGGTTCTATATTAAATTAAATGTGCAGCCATAGTGGTAGCAATTTTGAAAATTAAATATTTCGTGCTACTTAAGACTGGTTTTGTGCTCCAGGGTCACATATAGATATATGTTTCACATCATAGCTGTTACTACACTGATTAAATGCTGTGTGACTGTTTGCATGTTTATATGTCCTGTGTTTTTCAAACAGCGCGTGTAGCAGTGGTGAAATCCAGGGATATGCACTGGTCACTTTTAGCCCAGCGGGATCAGAGAGACATCAGTCTCAGTTCTCTCCGCATGCTCATCGTTGCTGATGGAGCAAACCCATGTGAGTATACACTTAAACAGAACAATCTGAGAACAAGCATAATTCCAAATCGAATGGAACACAGCCTGAACTGTCGCTGCAACACTGTGTATGTTGTGTATATTGAAATACAGGGTCTATTTCGTCCTGCGATGCCTTCCTCAACGTCTTTCAGGCCCGCGGGCTGCGACCAGAGGTGATCTGCCCGTGTGCAAGTTCCTCTGAGGCCATGACTGTCGCCATCCGCAGGTACACTGATGACATTACAGCAACTTGCTACTGTAAAACCACTACTGTTCTAGTGCATGCATTCTGCCCAGTTTACACAAGACACTGCTTGCTATTTTATTTCACCATATTATCTAATGCATTTCAGTTATCATCTCAGAAATGACAATGGCATTTTGCATTTGAATTTGCATATGGCAGTATCATTTTCCAGAGCCCAAATCCATGTTGAATGACTCTGTATGTGTGTGTTCAGGCCTCCAGAGATGGGTGTTCCTCCTCCGGGTAAGGCAGTGCTGTCCATGAGTGGTCTGAGTTATGGGGTGATTCGAGTAGACACAGAGGAGAAGCTCTCTGTGCTCACTGTCCAGGATGTAGGACAGGTCATGCCTGGAGGTGAGACCTGCTTTACTCTCACTGATTGATCTATGGACTGAAAAACGGTTTTGATTGGATGAATAGTGTGATGAAGAAATGCTTTACTTTTTGGCACTTTATGTTTAACATTCTATTATTCTGAATTTTTTATTTCTCTTGGGGACTAATGTACTGTCTATGCATCTGTGTGTGTGTGTGTGTGTGTATGTGTGTGCAGCGCTGGTGTGTGTGATTCGGTTAGAGGGCACGCCATACTTGTGTCGAATGGATGAGGTTGGAGAAATCTGTGTGAGCTCCAGAAGTACAGGAATCTCCTACTATGGTCTGCCAGGCATGACCAAGAATGTCTTTGAGGTAAACAAAAGGTCCAATGATTTTTAAACATAGTGTTGGCCTTAAAATGTTCAATCAATATTCGATTTTGGTTCTATATTAAATTAAATGTGCAGCCATAGTGGTAGCAATTTTGAAAATTAAATATTTCTGTCAAAGATTCACTTTGATTCATTCAGTGGGCCATTCTGTAGGTGACATATACCAGTTGGCGTATTTTGGATCTTTTTGAGTGAGTCATTGAATTATTCACTCGTTTAAAACATTCATTCACAACTGCAATTCTTGTTATTATACTTTACCGAAATGTCTGAGCCTATAATTCAACTAAGTGATTCTAGAAAGACATGAGCATTTTCTCTACAACAATATAGATCAGTTATATTATTTTGTCTGACTGTGACAGAACTCTATATAAGATATAGAAAAAAGTAACAATAGCCAATGAGAACAATTTGTTAAAAAAAAAATTGTTAAAAGTTCACAAATAAAACCACTAGTCATCAAGAGCTTTGAGTTATGTGTTATCATCCTGTTAAAAAGTTTGTGATGCTTACCTAAAAAAAAGGTAAGTAAAATAAGGACTTGACAGCATTGTAAACTCGACTAAAATGTTTTTGTTGTTTTGCTTTCAGACCATTCCAGTCACGTCATCAGGAGCTCCCATCAGTGACAGACCCTTCACACGCACATCTCTCCTTGGCTTCATCGGGCCGGTGGGTTCTGTGCAAGTTCCTCTGAGGCCATGACTGTCGCCATCCGCAGGTACACTGATGACATTACAGCAACTTGCTACTGTAAAACCACTACTGTTCTAGTGCATGCATTCTGCCCAGTTTACACAAGACACTGCTTGCTATTTTATTTCACCATATTATCTAATGCATTTCAGTTATCATCTCAGAAATGACAATGGCATTTTGCATTTGAATTTGCATATGGCAGTATCATTTTCCAGAGCCCAAATCCATGTTGAATGACTCTGTATGTGTGTGTTCAGGCCTCCAGAGATGGGTGTTCCTCCTCCGGGTAAGGCAGTGCTGTCCATGAGTGGTCTGAGTTATGGGGTGATTCGAGTAGACACAGAGGAGAAGCTCTCTGTGCTCACTGTCCAGGATGTAGGACAGGTCATGCCTGGAGGTGAGACCTGCTTTACTCTCACTGATTGATCTATGGACTGAAAAACGGTTTTGATTGGATGAATAGTGTGATGAAGAAATGCTTTACTTTTTGGCACTTTATGTTTAACATTCTATTATTCTGAATTTTTTATTTCTCTTGGGGACTAATGTACTGTCTATGCATCTGTGTGTGTGTGTGTGTGTGTATGTGTGTGCAGCGCTGGTGTGTGTGATTCGGTTAGAGGGCACGCCATACTTGTGTCGAATGGATGAGGTTGGAGAAATCTGTGTGAGCTCCAGAAGTACAGGAATCTCCTACTATGGTCTGCCAGGCATGACCAAGAATGTCTTTGAGGTAAACAAAAGGTCCAATGATTTTTAAACATAGTGTTGGCCTTAAAATGTTCAATCAATATTCGATTTTGGTTCTATATTAAATTAAATGTGCAGCCATAGTGGTAGCAATTTTGAAAATTAAATATTTCTGTCAAAGATTCACTTTGATTCATTCAGTGGGCCATTCTGTAGGTGACATATACCAGTTGGCGTATTTTGGATCTTTTTGAGTGAGTCATTGAATTATTCACTCGTTTAAAACATTCATTCACAACTGCAATTCTTGTTATTATACTTTACCGAAATGTCTGAGCCTATAATTCAACTAAGTGATTCTAGAAAGACATGAGCATTTTCTCTACAACAATATAGATCAGTTATATTATTTTGTCTGACTGTGACAGAACTCTATATAAGATATAGAAAAAAGTAACAATAGCCAATGAGAACAATTTGTTAAAAAAAAAATTGTTAAAAGTTCACAAATAAAACCACTAGTCATCAAGAGCTTTGAGTTATGTGTTATCATCCTGTTAAAAAGTTTGTGATGCTTACCTAAAAAAAAGGTAAGTAAAATAAGGACTTGACAGCATTGTAAACTCGACTAAAATGTTTTTGTTGTTTTGCTTTCAGACCATTCCAGTCACGTCATCAGGAGCTCCCATCAGTGACAGACCCTTCACACGCACATCTCTCCTTGGCTTCATCGGGCCGGTGGGTTCAGATGTCTTAAAACGAAACCATTCCTTTTGAAGCAGGATAACATTGAAGTGTCTTTTAAAACAACACGTGGTGTTCATCTTTTTGGGATTGGGTTTGTTTCTTGTATTACAGGATAATTTGGTGTTTGTGGTGGGAAAGGTGGATGGACTGATGGTGGTGAGTGGACGGAGACATAACGCAGATGATGTGGTGGCCACAGCACTGGCCGTGGAGCCCATGAAGTTTGTGTACAGAGGAAGGTAACTCAAATGTAATTTACTCTCGACTTGAGATGAGTGTGTATCTCTGCTCAGACTGAAGGCTGCATCTCTTTTCTCTGTCAGGATTGCGGTTTTCTCTGTATCGGTGCTGCACGATGAACGCATTGTTGTGGTGGCAGAACAGAGACCAGACGCCTCGGAGGAGGACAGCTTCCAGTGGATGAGTCGTGTGCTGCAGGTGAACACACACACATTTTATTAGCTATCTAAATGATGACACTGCAAAATAATATTTTAAACCTAACCCTAACAGAAAACTATATGCATTTTTACAATTACAAGTAGGTGTGTCCGAAGTGTTTACTTGTAATGTGCACAAAAACAACACGCTTACACACATACATATTTTCTTGACCACTTTCTGTTTAATTCTCAGGCTATTGACAGCATCCATCAGGTGGGAGTGTACTGCCTGGCTCTGGTGCCCGCTAACACACTACCCAAAGCTCCTCTGGGTGGCATCCACATCTCAGAGACCAAACAGCGCTTCCTGGAGGGAGCCCTGCACCCCTGCAACGTCCTCATGTGCCCTCATACCTGCGTCACCAACCTGCCCAAACCTAGACAGAAGCAGCCGGGTACAGGTGAGTCCTGCGTGAGTGTTGGGTGGTTGTTTTTCATTTTATGCATATTTTGCACATCATATGACCTGTTGTCTCTGTTGTTCCAGAGGTGGGTCCTGCTTCCATGATAGTCGGAAACCTAGTGGCAGGAAAGAGGATTGCACAGGCCTGTGGGAGAGATGTTTCACAGCTGGAGGACAATGATCAGGTAAAGATCAACCCCATTTCACGCTCTCAAACCACAGAGGTCAGTGGTGAAAAAGAAGTACACTTTAGCGTACTTGTAAAAAAAGAGTACTTATTATGGAAATAATTAGTGCTGTCAAACGATTAATTGCGATTAATCGCATCCAAAATAAAAGTTTGCTATGTAAACAAAACCTTTTATTTTGGATGCGATTCATCGTTTGACAGCACTAGAAATAATATATTTTAAAAGAATGTACTTAAATGCAAACTGAATGTAATGTTTTCAGACACTTAACTGCATGTTAATTGTATTTAAATAAATATGTATTATACTAAATTTATATTAAATGCAAGTAGCTGAAATTTAGAGTGCTTTTTTGACCCACTTAAGTAAGACTTAAAGGGATAGCTCACCCAAAAATGAAAATTCTGTCATTAATTACTCACCCTCATGTCATTCGTTCATCTTCGGAACACAAATTAAGATATTTTTGATGAAATCCGAGAGCTCTCTGACCCTGCATAGACAGCAAGGATCCTTACACGATCAAAGCTCAGAAACTTAGCAAGGAGATTGTTAAAATAGTCCATGTGACATCAGTGGTTCAACCGTAATTTTACGAAGCTACGAGAAAATTTTTTGTGCGCAAAGCAAACAAAAATAACAACTTTATTCAACAATTCGTCTCTTCTGCGTCACCCTATAGCGTCATTTTTGAGAGTATCACATACATAAACAATGTATGTACGCGGATACATTGTTTACGTTCTGATCAAAGTGTAAACAACGTAAACCGCGTATCCACATACGTTGCTGCTGACACAGAACAGCATACGTTGTTTATGTATGTGATACTCCCCAAAATGGCACTATAGGGTGACGCGGAGGAGACGAATTGTTGAATAAAGTCGTTATGTTTGTTTGCTTCGCCCACAAAAAGTTTTCTTGTAGCTTCGTAAAATTACTGTGCAACCACTGATGTCACATGGACTATTTTACCAATGTCCTTACTACGTTTCTGAGCCTTGATCGTGTAAGGATCCTTGCTGTCTATTGGAGGGTCAGAGAGCTCTCGGAATTCATCAAAAATATCTTAATTTGTCTTCCGAAGATGAACGAACGTCTGACAGATTTGGAACGGCATGAGGGTGAGTAATTAATGACATAATTTTCATTTTTGGGTGAACTATCCCTTTAAGTACATCTTTATGCGTAATTTCATAATTAATTCTATAGTCATTGAAATATGGTAAAAGTACTGCTGAATGTGCTGAAAAGCATTTATGGTAAAATACAGTATAAATCAATATCATAAATATATTTTAATTGCACATTTGTAATGATGAAAACGTTTAATTTGACATCAAAGTGCACTTTTGAAAATTTTACTTAAGTGAGTTAAGAAACAGTCATGAAAGCGTTCTCTATTTAAGAACACTAAGCGGATTTTTATTTAATTAATATTATATTAACTGCAAGTACAAGTTACGTCTAAGATTTGAAGTACACTACAAGTGCGCTTTCAATACATTTAAGTGCACTTTATCACAGGGACAGGTCCTGAAGTATACTGTTGTCTGAATGTGTCCTCTCTCCTCTTGTAGTTCCTGTACATGCAGGATGTTCTGCAGTGGAGGGCTCAGGCCACACCTGATCACCCTCTGTTTCTGCTGCTCAACGCCAAGGTATAAAACTCATTATCCCTCAGTCCAGGAAACACAGTATTCAGAGTCAGATTGTGTATATTCACAATGATCTTACTTGGTGTGTTTCATTTTTTCAGGGCACTGTGGCCAACTCAGCCTCCTGTGTACAGCTGCACAAGCGGGCAGAGCGTGTGGCCGTAGCGCTGATGGAAAGAGGTCGACTTAACACTGGAGATCATGTAGCACTTGTTTATCCTCCTGGTAGGAGAGAAAGACACTTATATTACTGTGGTCTAATAAATGGTGTTTAGATCTCAGGTTTTGTGGGGCTCAATACCTCTCTGTCTTCCTACTTTGCAGGTATTGATCTGATCGCCACTTTCTATGGCTGTCTGTATGCCGGCTGTGTTCCAGTCACCGTCAGGCCTCCACACCCACAGAACTTAACCACAACCCTGCCAACCGTTAAAATGATTGTTGAGGTAACTTCAGTCTCTGAGTGCAGCACATGCTGTTTACCATAGCCATGCTTCCCTAGCCAATAAACAGAAACACTAGCGCCCCCTTGTGACCAGTCTGTATTATTGTATTTTAAAGAATCTTATGGGTAACACTTTAACAATAATGTTGATTTTGTTAATATTCATTAGGAATAATGATTTTTTTTTGCTGTGCATTTATAAATTAACATTAACATAGATTAATAAATGCTGTAAAAAAAAATTCCTCATCGTTAGTTCATGATACCTAATGCATTAACTAATGTTAACTAACTGAAACGTACTCGTAAGGTGTTGTTTTTTTATTGATTTTTTATTAAATATCAAATTAAGTGTCATAGAAAACAAATAATTCTAAAGCTTTTCTCACTCAGGTAATTTTTGCAATTTATTTATTTTACCAAGTGGTCGAACTTTTTATATCAAAATACCAAGATTATTGTCATTAATGGTGACTATAATGTCCATATACTTTTTGGGACCACTGTAGATTAATTATATTAGATTATATATGTAGATTATATTCTGTGTCAATTGTCAATGTCAATGTCAATGTCAATTTTATTTCTATAGCACAACTAAACACAACAACAGTTGACCAGTGTGCTGTGTGTGTGTATTAAGAATTAATATATATAAACAAGTATTATTTTAGCCTTAAGCCAGTGTCTGATTGATTAAACACTATCTTGTATTCCCTGCTGTAACTTTTCTATCCTGTTGCATATGTTTGACAGGTCAGTAAGTCTGTATGTATTCTGACAACTCAAGCAATAATGAAACTACTAAAATCCAAAGAGGCAGCGGCCGCTGTGGATATTAAAATGTGGCCATTGATACTGGACACAGGTAAACACATAATTTACACTTTTTTACTATTGTATCATTGCAATCCCTTGTTAAAAGAAACGATAAATTAAGTTTATTCGTTCCATTCAGATGATCTCCCAAGAAAGAGAATTCCTCAGATCTACAAACCTCCCACCCCAGAGATGCTCGCCTACCTGGACTTCAGTGTTTCTACCACAGGAATCCTTGCTGGGGTCAAGGTGCTGTCTAACCCATCATTCAAGTGCCAATAACACATTCATTTTATGTGGGATTTACATTTCTAACACTGTGTGTTTCTCACAGATGTCCCATGCTGCCACCAGTGCCTTGTGTCGCTCTATTAAGCTGCAGTGTGAGCTGTACCCCTCTCGCCAGATCGCCATCTGTCTGGACCCCTACTGTGGCCTGGGCTTTGCCCTCTGGTGTCTCTGCAGGTGAGAGTCAGTTCACGCCTTGGATACTGTGATATTATATTATTTATGTGATGCACAGTAATGTAAATCATGTTTGTGTTTGCAGTGTGTACTCAGGCCATCAGTCTATTCTGGTTCCCCCTCTGGAGCTGGAGACCAATCCGTCTCTGTGGCTTTCTGCTGTCAGTCAGTATAAAGTACGAGTGACGTTCTGTTCGTATTCAGTGATGGAGATGTGTACCAAAGGCCTGGGCTCCCAGACTGAAGCTCTGCGGGTCAGTAATATACAGTAATTACACACCCTTAGTATACATAATGTAGCATATCATGTTTCAATATTTTATTTAAATGCATGGTAACACTTTACCTTTTTAATATAATAATTAAATTTCATTTTAAAATATGTGAAAATAGAAACCAGTTATTTTAAATTGCAATAATATTTCACAATGTAACAGTTTTTACTATATGTTTGATTAAATAAATGCAGCATTGGTGAGCATTTTGACTTCTTATACAAATATAAAAATCCTACCGACACTAAACTAGTTTACTTTACTTTTTTCATTATCTTGGACTAAGTTGTATGTCCTATCTCTGTGTATCAGCATATTCTAGGATCCCATTTAGCTTACAGTAGTTCTAGTTAAAATCGTTAAGGGCATATGTTGCATTTGAATTGTTCCGCTGAGTTTAACCCCCATCTGTTCACCTGTAGTTACGGAATGTGAATCTGTCGTGTGTACGGACCTGTATGGTGGTGGCAGAAGAACGTCCTCGCATCACACTTACGCAGTCCTTCTCGAAGATCTTCAAAGACCTGGGGCTCTCCTCACGGGCCGTCAGCACCACCTTCGGCTGCAGGGTCAATGTGGCCATTTGTCTTCAGGTCAGTGATGAACTCAAGTGTTTTGTATTTGTGTTAGCTAGAAAATAGAATGTGTGCTTTTAAATGACCTGTTCACATTAAGTGTGAAATTTCCATGATTTTTTATCATGACAAGAATAATGCACTATAAATCTCTTCACACCAAAAGCGAAATATATCGCAACAGGTATAAATTAGCACTTTTTTCAGGTATGTAACATTTTCTCTAAGGCTATCGAAATTTAATATCACACTTGGTGTGAAAAATTACTATTAACGCTGTTGTTTTTTTTTGTGTCGCTTTGTCGCATCGCTCTTTGTATGAATAGGTCTTTATCTGCTGTAATTGTTTAAAAATCATTTTCTGTACCCTTATGTTCTGTTCACTGGCCTGGATGTCTGTAACTGTATGTACATGTATCTGTTTGTGTATTAAATGTACACCTGTGTTTGTCTGCTGCTCTATGCCCTCTCGTCAGCCCAACAGGCTGGGCAAGTTGGCTGAGCAGGTACTGTGACCCAGATGGGGACCACAGGGGTGCTAGCAGGGGGCTTCCAGGACGCTTGTAAAGGCTCTGCTTTTCATATGTCTCTGTTTGTGTGAAATGCTCATGTGCACGACATAAAGAATGCTAAGTAGTCCAAAAAATGGCAAGCTTCTATTTATGAAATGTGACTTTAATGTCTATATACTTGTTTTTCATTTACTTTGACAGAATGTATTCATATGCCTGCTCTGCTCTTCACAGCTTTTGTGCTTGGCCCTGCACTATATATCTACTCTAGGCTGTGTCAAAGCAATGCTTGTAGCTGTGCATATAGAGTAGACTTGCTTATATACAAGCTGTGTTTGCAGTACAGGGGTTACATTCATGAGCAGGTCATTGTAACTCTTTTAATGCCTCATTCCATCATATAATGCTTTACAGTTAGACACAACAAGAGTAAGATGTTTTACAAGAACTGACAAAAACTGTTTTTACAGCGACTGATTAAATTGATGGTTCATCCAAAAATGAAGATTTGTCATCACCCTCATGTCGTTCCAAACCTGTATGACTTATTGGGAAACATAATAGAAGATATTTTGAAGATAAAACAGTTTTGGTTCCCATTGACTTCCATTATATTTTTTGTAGTGGAGGTCAATGGGAACCAAAACTGTTTGTTTACCAAACTTCACCAAAAAATAAAAAGACATCTGGCTGAGACTGAATTTTTCATTTTGGGGTGAACTATCCCTTTAAAGGAAATTTATGACAAATTCTCTGCTACTTCCATCTGTGAAGGTAAACCATGTCATTTCTAAATTTTGCTGAAAATGCATCGACTGTTTTCAAACAGGCTGCCCCAAGCATTCACAATCTGTCATTTGTTTCACAAACAGAAACTCACAGAATTGTTTGAGCCTATGTTTCTGTGTCAGACTGGTCGAACAAACAAAAGATCTGCCTTGATAGCACCACAGAGCTAATAGTTTAACATGGAAATGGCTTATAGTTGTCACTGCCTATTAAGAAAAGTATAGCAAAACAAATTACACACTTTGCCTTTAAGAATCCATGTTCACTTTTATAATCTTTCTGAGAAGTCCTATGTGTCATCACATATACTGTAATGTCACCGCCGGTTCATGGTAACACAGTACATGTGCTAGTGCCTGAAGGTGGATCAGTAGTATGAACACAGAATCTGTGGTGGCAGATATATCACAGACCTCCAGTGATCTGCTGTTCTGTGTTTCTAGGGCACCTCTGGGCCGGATCCCACCACAGTATATCTAGACATGAGGGCTCTGCGGCATGACAGGTGCTATAACAAACACTTCTGATTTACCTAAAGCTTATATACCAGTGTCAATTCATGTCTATTCATATTCTGTTGTTTATCAGCTAAAAAGTAAATTATTTTGGTCTTTTAATTAGAAACGTTCAGTTATATATGAACCGGTTTTTTTTCTTGTTGTTTTTTTTCTTCAATTTGCTCAGGGTTCGATTAGTTGAGAGAGGATCACCACACAGTCTGCCACTCATGGAATCTGGGAAGGTGAGATATTATAAATAATAAATACACATACAAAATTTTTATGGAATAATTACAATATTTTGATGTTTTTGAAAGAAAAGTGTTTTGTTCTCATCAAGGCTGCAATTATTCGATGCAACATACAGTTAAAAACAGTAAAACTGAGAAATATAATTACAATTTAAAATAACTGTTTCCTAATATATATATATATATATATCGCTGTGATACAAAGCTGAATTTTCAGCAGCCATTGCTCTAGCCATTGGTTTTAACATGATCCTATATGGTGATTTGTTATCTATTATTATTAGTGCTCAATTATTATTAATGTTTATTATTATCAATGTTAGAAAAATTTTTCCTGCCACATTTAAAAATTTTTTTATTCTTTCATGAATAGAAATTTCAAAGGAACAGCATTTATTTGAAATAGAAATCTTTTGTAACATTATGCATGTCTTTACTGTCACTTTAGATAAATTTAATACATTCTTTCTGAAGAAAAGTATTTATTTTGGTAACACTTTATTTCGATAGTCCACTTTAGACATTCTATTAACAGTAAGTAACTTTGCAACTACATGTCAACTAGCAGTTAGTAGAGTATTAGTAGACTGTCTGCTTAATATCTTCTAACACTTTCTTTGTCAACTTATTCTACTAACCCTAAACCTACCCTAACAGTCTACTCTGAGAGTTAGTAGACCTGTAGTTGCAAATTAATGAGAATTAGTTGACATGTAGTTACAAAGTTACTTATAGTTATTAGAATGTCTAAAGTGGACTATCGAAATAAAGTGTAACCTTTATTTTTTATCTTACTTAAATGGTATTAAGCAGAAAACACTGTTTTCAGCACTGATGATAATAAAGTTTCTTGAGCAGCAAATCAGCATATTAGATTGGTTTCTGAAAACTTCTAATTCTGTTTCATGTGACACTGAAGACTGGAGTAATGATGCTGCAAATTCAGCTTTACATCACAGGAATAAATTACATTAAAACATATATTGAATAGCATATGAAAAGTTCCTGTAAATTGTAATAATATTGCACAATATTACTGTTTTACTGTAGTTTTGATCAAATAAATGCAGCCTTGGTGAGCATTAGAGACTTCTTTCAAAAACATTAAAAAAAAACTTAGTTAATCCAAATTTATAACTAATAAATATTTCATTAAAATAAATTAAATTATATAATTATTTTATATTTATTACATTTCTCAACACAGATTCTGCCTGGGGTAAAGGTTATAATTGCCAACACAGAGACCAAAGGCCCTCTTGGAGATTCTCATCTGGGAGAAGTGAGTTTCAAATATTAAAGCGAGTTCTATTAACCACAGAGAACCACATCTGAGGTCTAAAATAAGTAGTGTTACCTGCCTATGTGTAGTGAGCTGAGTCTGTTATGTTATATTATATCATGTGTAGTGAGCTGATGGGACTGTATTTAAAAACAGATCTGGGTGAGCGGCCCCCATAATGCCACAGGATACTATACGGTTTATGGTGAAGAGGCGTTGCATGCTGACCACTTCAGCACCAGACTGAGCTTCGGTGACACGCAGACGGTTTGGGCTCGCACTGGATATCTCGGCTTCCTGCGGCGCACAGAACTTACAGATGCCAGTGGAGGTACTGTGTGCATGAGATGAAAACCAAACACACAAACACACTAGTGTCTCATTTCAAGAGATTTCTGAGGTGACTTTTCAATTTAAAATCATGTTCAATAAAAGCTTTCAACAAGCTAATAAATGAATTTTCTTTATTTTGTTGTAGTGTTTGTACATTGTTTTTTTGGTGTGTACTCATATCAGATATGATAGGAAAAATCAGTTGTGCTGTTCAATAAATGATGTTTTTGCACATTATTCTAGAGCGGCATGATGCCTTGTACGTGGTTGGTTCTCTAGATGAGACTCTAGAGCTGCGGGGAATGCGTTACCATCCCATTGATATTGAAACATCTGTCATAAGGTCACACAAGAGCATTGCAGAGTGGTAAGCAATATTTTTTAAATGCTTTCCTTATACCTCACAGAAGTAGATTTTAATGGATAAACTTTTTATTTAAATCTTTACTCAACTGTAATATAATCTCTCCATTTTACTGTTTATAACAACTGAACATTTGATCATTTTCATTGTTCGGTGCATCCATGGCAATAGCTAAAAATTCACTATTCTTAATAATTATCTTTGAAAATGTCTAAACATTGTTTTACACAAGTTACTTTTCCTGAGAAGCAAAATTTACAAAGGTATTAAAGGAAGTTTTGAGTTAAATACAAGATAAGATCTGTGGCATGCTGTTGATTACCTTGTTACCTGAAACACAAGTTGTGGTATTTTTGTCATGTTAAAATTCCACGACTATATGATGACTATAATTATTGTTGGCCAGTCAAACACACTTACACTAATGGACATTGGTAATCTAACATTCTCTAACATTGTCATATCCAATATTGGTAACTATACAGTTTTGATACCATTCCTAAACATACTTTAAAAGAGCAGCCTATACTTAGTGCAAACTGAATTGCATGTTAATAGCAATTAAATGAAAATGTATTATAGTTTACATTTATAATAAATGCAGTTTGCTTTTTTTTTGGTCCATTTGAGTAAGACTGAAGTGCATCTTTATATGTAATTTCATCATTACTTCTATTGCCTTTGGAATATGGTTAAAGTGTACTGCTGAATATACTGACAAACATTTATGGTAAACTAAAATATACTTTAATGTCATGTCAACTTGTATGTCATGTATTTAAATATATTTATTACACATTTGTAATGAAGAAGTTCCAATTTAGTACATTTAAATGTATTAACTGTAAACAATACTGAATAACACACTGCTGTTAAAACTACAATCAAGTATGTTGCATGTGCTTTAGTATGTTAGTCAACACATCAATATAAAACTTCTAATTTGACATTATTAAAAAGTGCACTTTTTTAAAATGTGTACTTCAGTGTGAAACAGTCATGCAAGTGTGCTCTCTTTAAGTACACTCAAGTGACCTCTTATTTCATTTATATTATATTATCTGCATGTAGTTTTTTAAATAATCTTTCAAGATTTGAAGCACACTACAAGTGCACATTAAATACAATTAAGTCCACTTCTTTATCAAGGGATGCCTACTCGTTATCATGTAGTCAGCTAACATTAGAAAGACAAACAGGACTAGTCAACAAAATTTCTGCGATAATTAACTGTATGCCACGAATGCTGTTGACGAAGTCTGGAGACTGTTTTTTTTTCCGTATTAATATCTTGCTGTATGAGATGTTTCATTTTGTTACACTTTATATTTGATTTACAAATATAAAGCCATGTTGTATACCCATGTTGTACAAAACTAGCCATGTTTTACAGTGTAGATGCAGTATTCTGCTTTTCATACTTCAATACACCTTTCATCTCCTCACTTTCTCTCACTCTCTCCTCAGTGCTGTGTTCACATGGACGAATCTCTTGGTGGTGGTCGTGGAGCTTGAGGGGTCAGAACAGGAAGCCCTGGATCTTGTTGCTCTGGTGACCAACGTGGTTCTGGAAGAGCACTATCTCATAGTGGGGGTCGTTGTGGTGGTGGACCCTGGAGTCATTCCTATCAACTCCAGAGGGGAGAAGCAGCGCATGCACTTGCGGGACGGCTTCCTTGCTGACCAGCTGGACCCTATATATGTGGCCTACAACATGTGAGAATGTGTGACATGGAGGAGGAACCAGATGCCAGGAATATCTGCATATGCAAATGTACAAAGGAAGCGTTAGGGGAAAGTTTGGACAGGCTTGCCTCTTCCTCCACAAACATGAAAAGTCCTTGATGGAGCTATGCAGTTTATTTTTTATATCAAACTGTCAGAATGCCTTGCAAATAAAACTCTGATTCAGTGGTCAGGGCAAATGACTTGATTTCATCTCCTGTTTTCTTGTGTGACACCCTTATGAGTTCAGTTTTTATTCAAGCACACTTGTCCTGCACATACGACACATGTGTGCTGAATGTTCCCTGTGTGTGAGAAGGACTGGCCCAAAAGGGCAGAGGAGTGCCTGATGTCAAAACAGGATCCAGATTGCAGGACTATGTCTTTGTAATTTCAAGGGCATGTGAAAATATGTAATGCACTTCATTTCAATGCATTACTATCGCCAATGTTATAGCTGTAAAAAAAAAAAAGCTCAAACCAATTTTTTTTGGTTTGTTCTGTTTTTACACCAACACACAAATCTTTGATAAATGTTTTATCTGGAGACCAAATGGCAATAAGGATGGATATAAGATGGAGAAATGGATATCTAAGTCTTTGTTTGCAAGGAAGCAGTACTGAAGGTGTGCTGTGGATATGCTGCTCCATAAATTCACAAGCTTATGCATTCCCGGCTAGTGTTTCAACATGGGCCTTAAATATTTTCCATATGCCTGTGGACTGTTTGTTTATTTGTATTTACCCCAGGGTAATAACAGTGAATAGATGAAGAGTTTTATTCAGGTAACCAAGTCCCAATCTGAAAAATATTTCTGCTCAAATTTCCATTATTCACAGCATTTCAAGTTTGAACAATTTTTTACAGTATGACATCACCGTTCACAACGAGATTATCTTATATTCCTGCAGATGAATGTATGAAGGTGACGTTTTTAGTCTCCTACATATTACTGATTGAAAAGAAAGTAGCGTTTTCCATTAATTCATTAAAACATACCAAACAGATGAGATCGTTATTTCAGGAAAAAATGACCACTGCAGGTGAGGGCTTTTCATTACTGTGTTAAAGTGTGATATTTGTTTGTATTTTTCAGACGCACTGTACACCGCATTGGCCAGCACTGTAAAGACCACTTTAAACAATGCTTGCTTTCTTTTATTGTGTTCATTACGTAAAGGACAGGCAGTGCGCCTGCTGTAATTATGTACAGAATTTGTGTAATAAGTTATTACTGGGACACCAGAAAACTACAAATACTTTTGGCATGGTTTTGCAGTGGCATGGAGGAAACCAGATGCTGCTCAAATCGTAGCTTAATTTCACAAACAGTAAGGGGAACAATATGAGACACTATTTATGTAATATTTTATATTGCAATAGACTCAAGAAGTGGTTTTGCTGCAAGGATTGTAAAGCACATACAGCGTCTGTATTGCAGGATGGTTGTGTGACTGTTAGTGTTCAATTTTTTCAGTTTTGTCATTTAGTGAATATTTGGTTGAAACAGCTTTTGACTTCTGTTAATTTTTCTTAATAAAACCCATGCTTTTAAATGATGGACATTGACATTTTTAATTCTAATGTGATTTTTAATGCAACATTTTGCAGACAGTTTTATCGAAAGAAACTTACATTGCATTTAAGATAAACATTTTATTTAATTCAATCCTGGAAATTGAACCCATGACCTTGCCATTGCTAATGCCATGCTCTACTGTTAGCTACAAGAATATCCAGTATGGAATAATATAAATGTTGCATATAATAGTAAGCAAAAGGATAACCAGGTTCACAATTATCAAAACATGATTACAAAGGTTTAAGAATTTCCAGTATGCATGTTAGCCGTGCTAAACAGGTACCAAAAAGATCCTAGTCGCCTCTACGGAACAGTAGTTTCAAATATTTCAAGAGATGTATTCTTCTATTTTTTCTAAAAGCTTTGTTGCAATATCCAGTGCCCTTCTGGCATTATTAATGCTAAATTGCTTGTTTGGAATGTGAGGAAATTGGTGATAGTTTGGATATTGCGTTTTTTTGCCATCAACACCAAGTTCAGTCAGTTGCCTCACATAGTTCGGTAAAGAAGTCAACTGTGAGCTGAAATGGGACACCTGTTGAGCAAGGCTAGTTATTGGGCTGTTGCTGGGATGGTGTCCACTTCCCATGTACATCGCTGCTATCAGGGCTTTTTCCACAGCCTGATGCACTTTAAACAGACACCACTCTGAGCTTTCTCCTCCAGTGTCATTGTGAGCTGCTCTGATGTCACATTGAGCCTGTTCATACCAGCGTTTTGCCTCCCCTTTGTTTGGCCTTGGAGTTTCTCTGTGGTATGACCAAAAGTTATAGTGCCTTCTAGAAAAGTTTTGATAGAACCTCTCGCGTCCCCTCCTGTGACTTCGTGCCTCTGTGTTCCACATGTCATAGAAATCTCGAAAGTCTCTCCAGTTCGAGGATGTGCTATGTGCAGTTGTAGTTGTAGATGTAGTTGTAGTCCTTCGTTGTAGTTCCTCAATTCTCTTTTGCAGGTATCTGAACGCCTCTGCGGCAATGGCTTCGTTGCCTGGGTTCTTGTCTGGATGCCAGTGGAGGAAGAGTCGTTTTAGAGCTTTTTGTTTGTCCTCACTTGACATTTTCCAGATTTCATTTAAGCTTTGGTCAATTACTCTATTGATGTCTTCCAATGTCTCAGGAAAAACAGTTGTGCGTGGAGGCCCAGATGTCAAAAGACGTTCTATATCTGTGCAAGTGGACCCTTTTGACACATTTGCCTTCTTTTCTCTTTTAAATTGGTATAGGTCAAGAGAGCTTACTTCAATGAACTCATCGCTGCCAACTTGGATTTTATATTTGGCAGGAAATTGTGTTTTTTGTCCCAATGGATCATCCACTCGCTCAATAACAATGGCGTAGAAATATTCACCAGAATCGTCCTTGCTGAAGCCAACATACTCTCCACTTTCAAAGTTGTTGAGAAAATTCATATCAAGGCGGTCATGCCATTCTTCAGGTATACAACATCCAGGTTTTGGTAAGGAACCGTGTCCTTCCTCCTTGTGGCCACTGTTATGAATGCCGTATTTTGCCAATGCTTTCTCAACATCCTCCATGTTGTCACAATGCAGAAGTCGCCCTAGGACTAGAAGGCTTGAGGTGGTTAGACAGTTCTTCAGAAGAGCATTGATTTCTTTAGTAAGACACATGGTAATTTCGCTTACTACTTTGGGGGCCATGTCATCATTGTGTTTTAAGTATAAGCTGCATCCATCTTGCTGTTTTTTCACATAAACATCTGTTTCAGCCTTACTACCCTCAAGTGGCTCATGGTTTAACAGAAGCTCAGTTTGAAGAGTTTTACAACAGATAATTTGAATCTTAGAAAAGATTTCTTCACACTTTTCTGCAGCTTCAGAATGTGACACCCTGCCTTTGCTCTCTTCTCTGATGAGACAGACTAGTCCATGAAAAAATGCAGCAGAAGACAAGTGCTTGTCAAACCAGACACTAAATTCACAGTCCCCTTCATAATCACAATATTGTACACTTGTTCCCTCCAGGTTTTCAGAAATGACATCCAAAAGAAATTTTGGGCTAACTTGCTCAGGAAGGAACTGCAATAATATCTGATGTTCATAGTGATCATTTCCAAGATGACAGCAGTTTAATTTTTCCAGCAATTTCAGCTTGGTTTCCAAAGGACCCTCGAGTCTTGTGGCCTGAAAGACGGTATCATTGAAAAACAAAGTGCTGGATTCATATAGTCTTCCATCTGTTGATGGAAGATAAAGTTGGTTGTTTTGGAAAAAAGGGGTTTTGTTCTGTTCCTCTTTCAACAGGCAAAATAGCTGTTGTACAACACGTTTCACAGTTTTCTGCTGATTTGCTTGAAGACTGTCTTTTTTAGAACTATCAGAATATATTTCTTGAAGAACAGTGCTATATTGATGGATGGTTGGTCTCTCCTTGACACCAATCATCTGGAAGAAGTCTTCAAATTTCACATAGTTTGAAGGAATGTTGTACAAGTAAGGCCTAAACTCAAGAGCATCAGACAGTGCAAGTACTGTCTGGCGAGCATTCACAAGTGTTGTGCCATTTTCCACAAGGATAACAGGGAGGTCTGAGAAAAGAGAGGCATCAAAATGTATTGACTGTAGGTAGGCGTATGATTTGCTAAATATTTTTTTTCTTGTCTCCAACAATCTGTCTGAGTGGCACTGAGACATACAGATATTTTTCAGATTAGCAGCTATTTTTCCAGGGGATGGAATTTCCAAGGCCCCAGCATCCTTCATTTTCTTTATGACATGTGGTGTGCAGAGTTCTGAGGGTAGGATTGGCATAGATGTCCATATCAGAAAATGGTGATTGTTGTCTCTGTCAATCAATGATCCACTGATTGCAACAACCTCCCTCTCTTGAGCAAAGGCTTTGTGATAATCACAAAGTGTTTGATGAATTTTCACTGGGAAGATGAATTTAATGTTAGCAACTCTGTTCAGCAATTTAGAGTTTTTGTCATTATTCTTTGATAAAACAGTCTTAAACAGGAGATGTGATCTTTTTTTAAAAACGTCTAATGGAGTGTTGCCTCTAGTTTCAGATTCAATTTGTATTGCAAACTGAATGATTTCCTCATCAGACACTCTATGTTTCAATCCAAGGTCCTTTAAGAGCAAATAGGCTTTAGTACGCTTATCTCGGAAAATCTCCCAAAACGTTTCTGGCACAAATCTCTCTTTTGGAAGCATTATCCTGTACAGGTGTTCATTGTCATCATAGAAGTATGAAGCCACCTGAAGAGAGCCATGGATGTCTTGAATAAATCTGACCTCGCTCAATGCAGAGACAATCCTGTGATCCACTGGTCCAAGTTCCACTAACAACCGCATGAAATCAAGAAGCTTGGCCTCTTTCATCATGTGCACAGAAGGAAGAATGAACTTTACACAGAACTCCAAATCATCTAGAACCTGAATGTTCAGAATTTCTGACAATTCTAAGTTCACCCAGCTGTGTTTGAGGAAAATACTGTCACATCCATCGACACAGTACAAATTTGGAAAGTCATTGTGATGCTTAGAATTCAGAATAAACACCCTTCTGTGTAAATCAATCCTTTCCCGTTTTCCACATATTGACTCAAACAGAGGCAAAGAATTGAGCATCCTCACACGTTCAACCTTCTTTTTGGAATCTCTGATCTCATTCTGTAAGAAACGTTGAAGATCTACACATTCATCTTTTGATAGCCCCTGAAACTGGGAATGAGGTACATGATAAACCTCTCCCAAAACAGCACAGCTGTCTCCTGTTTGCAGGAGCTCTGGATGTATATACTTGAAACAGAAGTCTATGAGATCGGTGAAAAAGCTGATGTCTAAGTTCATGAACCCCAGTTTTATGAGAATGGAAGCTATTTTTTCATCTGGATTCCAAATCACTTTTGATACATTCCTCATTGTTTGTAAAAATTGGATGTTATTTTGACGGGGGCAGATGACTGGTAAAATAGGACTATCTTCAAAGTGCTTTTTTATCTCACTAAAGACATTCAGCTTTCCATTTTTGTAGACTTCCACTTGATCCTCAAAGAAGCTCCATAAAGTTTTCAGCCATTTGATTGTCTCTTTCTCTGCTTTGTAGAGCTGCCACCTTTGATCAGGTAATGATTGCCTAAGCAGTTGCTCAAGTTCTGTTTTCAAATATGTTGCTGCCATAGCAATTGTTAAGCTCTTAATAAACATTCCCTTGTGTAGAATTTGCATATGCTTTCCATTGACAGCAATATCTGCAAACATCTCCTGATGTCCTTGGAAAAGACTGCTAAATCTTGAGAACAACTTTGGGCATCTAGAGTCAAAGACTCTTAACATCTGATCTTCCGTGAGGAGAAGAGGCAACCCATTGAGGACATGGACATTTTCCTCATTGACATTTGTCAAGCAGAAGTTCAAAAGTTTTGAGCATCTTGTTTTGTTTTTTATCAAAGTCTGGTCGATGTGCAAAGGCAAACTACCAGTTGTCTGGGAAGGATCATTCAGTGATCTTTGCTTCAAGAAGTTCATCACTGTTGAAGCACTGATTTCTGTCACATTCACACCAGCTGCTTTAAAATGTGCTTTTATTTCATGCATTTTCAAAGAGTATGGCACTAATTTCATCCCAGTGTCATGTAAAATTTCGAAAATTCCTTCATGGTCCCCAGTTGTAAAATATGGACAATTTTCTGAATGTGGTGCAGACACACGGCACCAGGTAACTGTGTATTTTTGTTGTGAAAGATGTGATGACTCAGGAATAGCGTGTACTGTGGGTATGACAGGAAGGTCAAACTGGTTAACTGATCTATAGACCTCAAGAATCATCTCATGCCAGACTTTGTCTACTTTCTGTGAAATGCATGGAAAGTAATTTAGCCAAGAATCTAACTGTGGCTTGAGGAATACAAGAGCTGTAGGTGTATCTTTCTTTATGACTGAACAGAGACTTAACAGGAGGTCAGCATAGAGTGGTGAAATTATGTTTACTTTCAATGACTGG